CTTATTAAGTAGTGTCTATGTATGTAATATATATATATATATATATATATATATATATATATATATGTATATATGTATGCTCAAAAGATCACTCTTTGAGCTGGGTGGTGGTGGCTCATACCTTTAATCCCAGCACTTGGGAGGCAGAGACAGGCAGATCTTTGTGAGTTCGAGGCCAGCCTGGGCTACAGAGTGAGTTCTAGGAAAGGCACAAAGCTACACAAAGAAACCCTGTCTCGAAAAACCAAAAAAAAAAAAAATCACTCTTTGGTATTTAATGTTGTATATGTGTTTGTGCGCATATATATATATATATATATATATATATATATATATATATATATATATTGTTACATGGTTTTTATACACAACATGCAGCAATTTGGATAACTCTCACCACTATTTTGCTTATTTGTTGAGACAGAGTTTCACTATATAGCCTGGGCTGGCCTCAGACTCACAGTGTAGATCAGGCTGGCTTTGAATTTGCAGTCCTCGTCCCTTGTCCTCCCTAGTACTGGGATCACAGCCGTGTGCCATGACAGTTGTACAACCTTTATAAAGCATATGGACACCGTGCATATCTAGACCATTAGAGAAGAGCGTAGAATCAGTCCTAAGGACATAAACAAAATATAAAAGTGGTATTAATTATAGTTGAATAAATTTGTGATCAGAATGATCAACACAAAGGAGTGATTATACATACCCACTTAATAAAACATTGCACAACATTAATGATATGCTTTCATTTTTAATGGCATGGAAATGCTTGTGTTCTACTAAATTAACTAATGAGACTATTCAGCTTATGCATTATGGCCTGATATGTGCAAGATTGGAGCGCTGCAAATAAGTGTATATGAAATTTAGGAAACTGTCTTAAATTGCTTAATTCAGATGACAGTAGGTCAGTGACTTAAGATCAAAACATGAGCAGTGTATCTGCATAGGCTGTTATGTGCATGAGTGATGTGATTTCCCTTTTTCCCTCTCTCTCAAGTCCACGCTCGGCTACGTGGCTCTGCTCATCAGCACTTTCCACGTGTTAATTTACGGATGGAAACGCGCTTTCGCAGAAGAGTACTACCGCTTTTACACACCACCAAACTTCGTCCTTGCACTTGTCCTGCCCTCGATTGTCATTCTGGGTAAGACGATCTTACTCCTCCCATGCATAAGCCGAAAGCTCAAAAGAATTAAAAAGGGCTGGGAAAAGAGCCAGTTTCTAGAGGAAGGCCTGGGAGGAACAGTCCCGCATCTGTCCCCAGAGAGGGTCACGGTGATGTGACGAGAAGAGATGCTCACTGGTGCCATATACACTTCTCTCATGCCATCGCTTCACGACTCCCTCCACGCTCCCAGTAAGTGGACTGTCAATTTGCTGTAGTGTGAAACCTGGCAGTGACATCTCAGCTGAAATAGTGATAGGGTTTTCTTCAAGTTCATTTTTATAAATGTCATATTTTGCCAACATGAGATTTTGTAGCCCACGTGTATTGTTACAATCTAGGAATATTTTCTTTTGTGCAACTGTAACAGTATTGCTATTTTAACTATATTACATAATCAGGCAGAAATATTTGTAGTTGATAATATAGAATGTTTGGAACACTTGGCAAACTGGCAGGATTTGAAGCTTTTAATGTTACTCAGTGGATATACTTTTTCTTTGAGGCTAAAGATTTTAATTATTACCCAGTTTAAGAAACAGAAGTGCATAATTATATATTATTGAGGAGGGCCATAATGTATTAGCATCTAGGGTGCACAGGAGCAATCTTAAACCTTCATAAAATGGACTGGAAAAATAGCATTAATTATACAAAGCAGTGTGAGTGTATGAGCACACACAAATTACAGACGAACCTAAAATCGTATTTAAAATGCACTGGAGATATGAAATGAATACTGCTAACGCACAACTCCTGAGAGCTTTATTTTCTTATGTTACAGAGCAGTTTCATTTTCACGTTCATGTCAGTCAGGGAAAGGACTCCATGACTAGGCCGCTCCCAGGATTGTGGAACTGTCCGTCATTGCTGTGAAAGTATCAGGTCTGCCCATGGTCCCCGTCAGGTCCTATTGGTTATTTTGGCCAGCCACTGCTCTTCCTGAGTGGGACTTTACTGATGTCCACTGAGGGACTGTGGCATGGCTCTCAACACTTGTCCCCTTTAATATTTACAACAGACCCATAAAATAGTTGTCTTCATTTTACATATGGGGAAACTGGAGGATAGAAAAGCTAAATTTGCTTAAGGTCACACGGTGAATAGGTAGCAGGGTGAGCAGTCATGGCCAGGTAGTCATCCTTCAGAAGCCGTCGTTTTATGAAACATCAGGATATACCACCCCTGCCCCATCTCCAGGCACTACATTCATGATGTCAGTCTGGATGTTTTCTCTCTTGTATAGCCATTGGCAGTCTTTAGAGTATGTTTTGTGCATCAAAGGATGTATAGAAGTATCTTTTTTTTTTTTTTTTTTTTTTTGGTTTTTTGAGACAGGGTTTCTCTGTGTAGCTTTGCGCCTTTCCTGGGACTCACTTGGTAGCCCAGGCTGGCCTCGAACTCACAGAGATCCGCCTGGCTCTGCCTCCCGAGTGCTGGGATTAAAGGCGTGTGCCACCACCGCCCGGCTTAGAAGTATCTTAATCATAATTTTATTGTTCCAGAACCCACAATAGCACAGTGCCTCCCTGTGCAGGGAAGGACTGAGCAGGGAGAGGGTCAGAGAAGTGTGGACGAACTGTTGAGATCCTGCAGCTCTGCAGAAATTCCTATCAGGTGGCCATGTCCTTTGCTCTTCCTGGGAAACCCTCCTGCCTTCACTACCATTCATTAGGAAGCAATTTATAAGCACCAAGGATAATAGGACAAGTGGCTAATTATAAATCTACTCCAGAGACATATAATCATATAGATTACTCATACAGTTTCTCAGTGCTGGTATTCCACGTGTAAATTGCATTTTTGTGCAAACTTTGGGATATACTACGTTTTCTCCATTTGTTCCTTATTTATCATAGTACAAAGTTACAGATAAGATGTAATTATATGTGTTCTTCAGAAAACTGTATCATTTTTAAAGTTACCTACTGACTCGAATCCAACCATCAAAAATAAAATGACTCTTATTTTTGTGGAACCTGTCTTTCCCACCAGTGTCTTTTTCTGTTCTTGCATTGTTAGTCTGGAAAACTACCCACTATTCTTCAATGATTTCTTGGTGAACTGTAATATTGAACACCCTATTTTCATTATATTGATCATAATCATGAATTCTTAGTAGGAATTCATTATAGTGATGGCTTTTAACAGTAATTACCTACAAGCTGGGTGTGGTGGCGCACACCCTTAATGCCAGCACTCAGGAGGGAGACACAGGCGTATCTCTATGAGTTAGAGGCCAGCCTGGTCTACAGAGTGAGTTCTAGGACATCCAGAGCTACACTGAGACTGTGTCTAAGTAAATACATACATACACATATACCAATACTGTCATGAACTAGTGAAAATAGCAATGTGTTTTAATACTTGCTTACTTCTTAAATTTCATTCTAAGACAATTTAATGTGAAAATACAATGAAGTATTTCTAAAAGTTAGATGATTAAAGTACATTGTTATATATGTTAGGTAGCCTATAATATAAAGTTACTGCTATTATACATACATGGGATCCTTGGAAATATAAAATTATTTTAAAAATACAATTATATTTCAAATGACACTTTTTCTTTGGAATGCTACAAAAATGGAATAATTTTAGTTTTAGAGTAAATGTAATATAGTCATTACAATTCTAAATGTTGAAAGGCCCCTCTCACAATGCATATCTATTTACTGACTTTCAGTTGCTTAATTTACTACTTCTGTAATTTTTCTTTTTAATAATTTTCTCTTTATCTTTAAAGGCATTTTTCTGGCTTTAGAAGTAGACTGAATTTTGTTGCTGCCAAATGTGAGAAGGTGGTAGGAGGAGCTTGCCCTTCAAAGAGCAGGACTAAGGAGATGTCTCAGTGGGCACAGGCACCTCTAGACCAGCCTGATGAACTGAGGCGGTCCCTGGGATGATGTGTTCTCTCCTCCCTCTCTGTCTCTGTCTCTTTATTTCTCTCTCTCTCTCTCTCTCTCTCTCTCTCTCTCTCTCTCTCACACACACACACACACACACACACACACACACACACACAAAGTAAATGAAATATAATTACAATTTTTTTAGGGGTGAGGGAGGGTAGGGAAGGTTTTTAAAGAGGAGTGAAAATTTGTTTATTAATTTATGTTTTGAGAAGGATGAGTGAGAAAATGATAGGAATGTAGAAAACATAATCTGTCTTAATCCTTTGTAAAGACAGACACATAATTTTTCCCGTGAGGAAAAAAACCCATATAACATGTATCATGCTACTTAGCTTTTGTGCAGATTTCATGTCTCCTTTATTAGGAATATTTAAAACCACATTTAAATATAAATATATTCATATTAACATCTTTTTAAAGAAGATATGCTAAAATTTAGCTCAGATAACCTACATGAGATTTTTATTTAAATTTTAAAACATTATAAAGTATGAATAAATTATGATTACTTATCAGAGCTAATTATTTTGTATAATACAGAGAGTAGCTGATGACTTCATGCACTACCTGATTATTTTCTTAAACATTAGCATAATTTCAAATTGACTGAAAAATTTTACTTTCAAAGTTAATTTGATAATGATAAAAATATGTTCCTACTTACAGTCAGATTATGAAAATTATTTTTTAAAGGGGATTCAAGAATATATTTAACCTGATCCACATAGTCATGTCCCAGACAGCCAGGGCTATGTAAAGAGACCCTGTCTCAAAACATATATTTTTTCCAGCTTTTTCTATTATTCATTTCTTACGTAATATGACGAAAGTCTTAATTTAAATTTTTATGCCATTAAGCTATTTAGTAATATATTCTATAGTGTTCCCTCTCAAAATGAGGTTTATTTATAAAATTTAAGTATTTCACATGGCATTTAAAATATAAGTACTATAAATGTAATTCGGAACTATACTGTAAACTAATTATACCTGTATCAGTCTATAAAATCCTGCTTTGAAATGTGCAAGCAGAATAAAATAGAAATTGTTTTGTAAATTGATGACAAAGCAATGTCACACGTAGTATAACGTACCTCAGTCCAGTGTTACACGGCTCTGTGTGATGTCAGGAAAATGAGTTGCTCGACCTGCACTGTGAAGAACTCAGTAGGCAAATTCTGGCATATGTTCAGTCTTTGTAATTACCTAAAATAAAGTGTAGCGATTTTAGGAGAAATTGTCTGTTCTTCTGAACGTCACAGGAGTGAACAGGTTCTTCAAACTTTTGAGTGTGACAAAATGATAAAGTGCTTAATTTTTAGGGGTTCTAGCCATATGATACTAAAACAGTGCTTCTCTTTAGCCTAACATGCATACTAGAGATTGTTGGGTTGTTTTTTTAAGTTTACAAATCACTAAATTTCCACTGTGCACAGATCCGCAATGAAGACAGACCAGCAGACTTCCCAGTAGTTAGGGACACTCCTGGTAGCTAGATGAGCCGAGGTAACTCATAAAAGCAGGTGCTTTATGGAATTATTCCCGCAGAGATTTCCTTCCAAGGTTTTCCACAGTTGTGCAGGTGTTCATCCTTCAGTCTGCTCTCCTCACTCCTGAGCTGCTGCTGAGGACCGCTGTTCACACCTCTTGGAGCGAGGTGTCCTTGTGACTGGTCTCCTGACTGACTGAGAGGTGTCCCTGTGATGAGTGCTGGCCTCTGAGGACTACTCTAAGGAAAGTGGCATGTGTTCTTTATGGGCCCTTCTGTCTGGCTAATGAGGTTGTGGATAAACATCTGTCCCCAGAGGGTCAAGGCAACACTCAGAGGCAGAATCGAGGCTACTAGAAAACAGACAAGTCCCTGCTTCTTCCTGTGTTTAAACAATTACAACTGAATTTCTGTGTTCTGTGAAGTCTAAATTGTATCCTTTCCAGTTCTTTGTGACAATATTCATTTAGCATTCTTGAATAGGTTAGACTGTAATAATTCTTACTTTTAAAAGATTTTAAAGGATAATACACAATTTACATTAAAATTAATATTCTATTATTAATTATACTTGTTTTTTGCCTTTATCATTAGCTATTTTGTATTGGTGTGTATGATTTTCTTTGTACAAAATGTCCTTGTGTGTATTCATTTTTACTAAAGGCTTTGTCCTGTAAAATATTGTTAACAAATTGTACACCATGATTTTATGTCATTCTCCTAGATCTGCCTTATAGACATTTCAATAAAAAGTATTATTTAATGTTTTAATTTTGCTTTTTTAATCTTACTAATTTGAATATTTGATGGAATTTTTCTAATTTTTGGGTCTTTTTTTTAACTTTTTACTTATTCTTTGTGTCTTTCACATCATGTCTCCCAAGCCTACCCATCTCCCTCCCTTGCCAAAATAAAACCAATGAAATTTAAGAGAAAAAAAGGAAGAAGGGGAAAACCCCGTCATGGAAGCTGCAGTGTGACACAGTGAGTCACACAATAAACCCCTTTATCCATACATTTTTACATGCAGTCGTTTATCACAAAGAATCATTGGTTGGTTCGAGGCCCCGACTCAACTGCACCAGCAGCGCTGGGCCCTCACCGGGGCACTTCCTGGACATCCTGTTGCTGCTCTGTGTTGGCTCGCCCCCGCCCCGCTGCCCCGTGTTCCAGCAGATCACAGATGGGGTGGGCCAACATATAACCCAGGTTCTAAGCCCGGGTAGTTGCAGCTGGTCAGCCCGACAGCTCTCCTCTGTCTTCGCCACCAGGGTGAGCTCTCCATCACTGCCCTGACTAGTTTACCCCTTGTAGTGATGAGCAAGGGGCAGGTCCAGTTCTCCAGCTTTCAGGTTTGATGTCCACAGGGTCGGTTCTCCCACACCTACCCCTTCAGGGCCAGCTCTGCTGTGTTGTCCGGGTGAGGGGCAGGGGTCACTCTCCCGAGTGCTGCAGCTGATGAGGGGCAGGGACAGCTCTCCCACCTATTTCAGCGTTGATGGGTTGCAGATGCGGGATCTCTCCACCCATGCGCGCTGCCATGTGGCAGATGAGGGGAGGGGCTAGGTCTCCCATGCTCACGTGCTGAGGCTTGGCTCACCTGTGCCCTCCTCAACAGGGTCAGCTCCACCATGCTGCCCAGATGAGGTGCAAGGCCCGCTTCCCCAAGTGTTTTAGCTGGTAAAGGAGTCAGTTCCCTGGCCAACTGGAGGTGGGAGCTGGGAAGCGGGGAGGACATCTCTCCCTCGATCCCACCACCACAAAGCAGATGAGGGAGGCAGGACCAGCTATTGGTCTTTGTTTTTAAAAAGATATCCAGAAAGCAATCCAACTGATAGTTTTGCTTGGGTAGGGGACTGTTTTTACACAAGTAGTCATTTTAAAAAACCTCTATTTAATGAAGATTATTTCATTTCATTGAGCATTTTTAGATCAAGATACCTACAATATTTAAGCTATCCTGCAAACCAGGAATATAGTGTTAGCTGTTGCTAAGTGTCCATGTCTAATACAGTATGTTCCATAGCACATAAAGAGACATGACTCATTTTTATAAAAAATTATGCTGTTCATCTCTTCTTTGACTATCTCCTGCTGCCCGGACCTCACGTCCCTCCCTATCACTGCCTCCCCTTCCTGGCTTCCCTCCTGGCTAGTGGCCCAGAGCTGCCCTGTCTCCCAGGAAGGAGCTGCTAGGGTGCTGCCACCCACTGCTTCATGATGAGTCCTATCCATGCAGCAGGTCTGGAGAAACTGACATCTGTGGATCTGCATGAAGATGCTTGAGTGTGTATCCTGACAGGATCACCAGAATAAAATTCTCAGTTAAATTTGAATTGCAGACAAACAATAAATAACCATTTACTATTAATATTTTAAGTGTGGTATAAGTTTTACATGGCCTTTTTTTTCCCTAATGTGTCAACCCAAATGAAGGGCAAAATTTGACCAAGTAGATACAACATGAATGAGCTAGTAGATATATTATCCATTCACTTCCTCCAGATGGAATGTTCCAAAGTACAATTCAGCAGACCTTCGTGGAAATAACCTATAAAACCAAGCAATTAACTATACATGTTTAAAAGCCATGACAAGTTTAGTAACATCTATTTTTCCCTTTCTCTGTCCAGGAATAACAGTCCCAAATAAAGTGATGATAACTGCTGTGTGTTTATGGACAGCTGAGGAAACAGAGTAACCCAAGTGGAATTGTTGAATGATGAAGTAGGAAATAAATGGGTTTTGCGGTTTTACGCATAAGACCCTGCAAACTCAAAATCCAGATGTGTTGAGAGATCCGATGGCAGATTCATACCGATCAGATGTATAGAGTAGATATTAAATTAGCATAGAAATTTACTGAGACTCTGAAAAATATCAGTTCTACAGGTGATAATACCAACATGGCTTTAACTACACATAGTGTATTCTTCAGTCTGTCCATAAGAATTCAGATTTTAACTTAAAAGATGATGGGATTTATTATAGACTGAATTGTGTCATCCAAAATGTGTATGTTGAAGTCCTAACCCCCACTGCCTCAGAGTATGACTGTGTTTGGAGACTGGCCTTTAAAGAGATAATTGGGGTGAGATCAAATGGGTGAGTCTTAATCCAGTATGACTGGCATCCTTTTGAGATTAGAATACAGACCTGGACAGAGGGAAAACCATATGAAGAAAAGGGAAGAAAAGAGCAGGCCAAGAAGAAAAGTCTGCACAAAGGCTTGATCTTGATCTTCCGGTCTCCAGAACTGTAAGAAAATCTCTGTTTTATAGCCACCTGACCTATGGCATGTGTTACTGCAGACTTCATGAACAAATACAAGGACCATGAAATCAAAACAAGTGAAATTATTCATACAGCTGGAGTAACTGATGTATAAACGTGTCTGGTGAGCCCTGCTTTGCAATAAAGACCTGTATTGTGTAGTCACAATACATAGTTGACACTTGTAAATGCTCAGGAAGTTTTTTTCGTTTTTCATAGTATCAAAAAACTAAAGAGTAGATCACTTACGTCATTTGTCCAGTACACATGGAACAGTTTCCCAGCTTCTTCTTGCAATCTAGATTACTGTTGATACAGTTTTTACTTGAGTAACTGACATCAGGGGTGGCCATTCCACTGGTCCTTCTGTTCCATTTCTTAGGCCTAAATCTGCATGAAGTCTGCATGGTCTGCCGAAGAGAGATGACTACTTTTTAGGCTTGCAACCATAAGCCGATCTGAAAGATTATTTAAAACCCAGAAGTAAATTAAATTCCAACTTGATACGTATTTCTTCTATTATAAATTTTCCCCAAGCTAACCTATTACATTAATAATATTTTGTATGCTATGAAATTTCTTTATTTAAAATAAACTACTCTATAACTGTCTCTATAAGTAATAATGTTTGTTTGAACAGTTAGAGCATACAGCATCAGGTTAAAGAGAATTAAATAATGTTTGTTTGAACATTGAGAGCATACAGCATTAGTTTAAAGAGAACTAAATAATGTTTGTGTGAACATTTGGAGCATACAGCATCAGTTTTGAGAGAATTAAATTCATATGTATTTTAAAGTACTTACAAAATGTTCTTAATTCATGATGAATAATTGCAATTTTGCTAACTTGCTAATTAGGCAGGGTGCAAACAAAATCAGAAAAACTACATTAATATGATATTTTGTTTATTTAAGTATATACTTAACTTTCTTCACTACTTGTAAATGTACAAATTGTATGTAGATTGACATATTGAAACTCCTCTTACATCTACAAGTGCTCCTAAGAAAATAATTCCTATCTTCATGGTGTCAAATTCTACAGGATTGCCAACATATTGAAACTTGTGTATTCTCTAGGTAGATCTTATTTCTCACATTTCTCTACTATTTACCTTTTGTTGAAGTAATTGGACATCTCAATAGTCCTTTCATCCATCTGTGTCTGCATTATTATAAGAAAGGATCAATGAATAATAATTAAAATTAAACCCACACACTTAAACAGTTGAAGTTCTTAAAAACTTAAATCTTGGTGCATTTCTAGGGATAAAATAAAACAAATATTGTCACTTAAACAATTGGCAAATAGAATAGTCTAAGCCAGTCCCTGCCCCTGCCTTTTTGAGATGTCTAAGATTGGTAAAAGTACCCCAAAACAAAAATGATGAACACACACCATGAGCATCTCAATTTTTTTGTGTACATTTGTTAAAATGGGAATTCTGTTTCAGTATTTACACCAGGAGGTCCAAAATTCTGTATTCCTGGCACGCCTCTATGAATCACCTACTCAGGAAGCCCAAGGCACTCACTTAGAATAGCAAGGATCTATAGAATATTTACTTTGAATAATTGACAAAACGCTTTAACTTTAACTTAAATCAAAATCTAAAAGTAATGTGTAATCCTTGAAATTTTAAAGAACATTTATTGAGTAACTAGTATGCTCTTGACAGGAGGACCAAAAGTGTGGTCTTCAGAGCAGAGGCATCAGCGTCACCTGTGAACAAGCTATAAACACAAGCCTGAGCCAAATGAGGTGTTCACACCATGCCTACATCGCCAGCTGAGGACACATAGCCACATCCTTTCTCAGCATTTCACAGGCATGAGTGGTTGGATACAAATCTCAGTAAGATAATTGTCCTTGATTTTAAGAGTCTCAGTATCATAACATGGTAGGGCTGCTTTGTCGGTAAATATCACTAACTACGCAGTGAGTACCAAAAAAAAAAAAAAAAAAGCATACCACACAATGTGGCACCTAACACAAGAGAAGAAATAAAGATTTCCTCACCAAAATCATGTAAGCCCAGTTTCATAGGGAGTTAGCCATCTGAAGATGGTGGTGTGTGTAGTTAATTCTCTACCCAGGTTACAGAGGATGAAGTATACAACTTCCATCCCTGTTGCTTCTCAACCTGTCAATGAATAAAATATATGCCACCGTAGGAAAAAAAAAAATATTACAAAGTTGGACTGTTGATTTGCCAGGTGGGAGAACCCACCTGGCAAAGAATTTAATGTTTTTCTCTGGTTGCAAAATTTGAACTTCCCATGCCAGGCCATACTAGGCATCCAACATCAGGGGTTCCAGCATTCCAGACAACCACTCTACTCCTTGAAAGCTTCCCGACACTGCACGATGCCTCATTTGTTTGTCTAACTGTCAAGTTAGGCCACTAAAGTACAAGTGAGGCAAACCTGGGAATTTAGACTAAATTGACCGGTCCTCTCACTGGAGAGGTAAGTGGTCAGCTTTCAACACCGTGCCAATCATATCCCTCCGAATGCATCCCACCTCCAGCTTTTACTCCTCCGCCCCACACAGGCCCTTATCCAGCAAGGGTGGTCTCCACAAGACTGAAACTCTAGGTGCATACCGCGATCTCAGTCAGTGGTCTCCTTTGTCTCCCAGTCGCACACCCGCAGACCATCCTTGGGCAAAGTTTGGCTCTCCCAGCTTCCGTAGGCCCCGCCCCTAGCAACGCTCGGGCTTGTGTTAACAACTGGAGCGCGCCTGGCGTGTGGACCGTAGCAGCCGCGGGATGTCCGCTGCGTGGCGGAGGCGGGGGCCACGGCCCGACCTTCGGGGTCTTTCGTCTCCCTAGCTCGGGCCGCGCTGCGTGTTCCCCGGCAGGGCTCGTGGCACACCTAGGACCGCAGGCTCCCACCCCCAGCCATGTCCACAGTGGAGGCTTCGGCCACGGCGGACGCCGCCGAGGCGGCCGTCAGGACCAAGACCTACAGTCCCCGCACGATCCCGGTGTTTGGGGTAGTGACCCAGCATGAGGATAGTCAGGTACCGCCGGGCTGCAGCAGGAGCGGGGAAGGGCGTGAGGCTCCGGGGCAACCGGGTGGAATCCAGGACCAGAGGGAGCCTGTGGGACGGAGATGCACGGAGCTGGTCCCTGGGGGGCGTGCGGCTGGCGAGGGGGTGCTGGATGTCGTCAGCCAACCTGTCTGGGGACTCTGGCTGCGTGGTCCTCCTGGAGAGACTGACTCCTCTTTGAAGTATGGCCACGAAAGGAAGGATTCGCTCTTAGTGACATTTGATTTGATAACCAGATCACTGTTTGTGATGGGATTTTGTCTGTAGATCCGTTATAAAGTGGCATTCCCCAGGTTTAAATTTGTATTCACTGGTATGCAGATGCTGTTGGAGAGTTGGAGACAGAATTGATTTTCTTTGTTGTGTTTATAGTGTGTTTCGGGTTTGCTTTTGTGATAAGTGCAAAGCTAAGGTTTTTTTTTGTTTGTTTTTTTTTTTGTTTTTTTTTTTTTTTTTTTTGGTTTTTCGAGACAGGGTTTCTCTGTGTAGCTTTGCACCTTTCCTGGAACTCGCTTTGGAGACCAGGCTGGCCTCGAACTCACAGAGATCCGCCTGGCTCTACCTCCCGAGTGCTGGGATTATAGGCGTGCGCCACCACCGCCCGGCTGCAAAGCTAAGTTTTTAAAGTTGGGTTGAGGAACCTCTCTGCCTTGCCCTACACTAATGGTGTTGGGGGGCCTCTATGGGAATTCCTGTTGGGGGTTCACAAGTCTCAAGCTACGTCAGGAACTCTGTCTCCTGCGTTCACATCCTGGAGCCTTGGAGGGTTACTTGGGAGCAGCCAGTTAACTCGGGACTTCTGTGGGAATTGTGTTGAGGTCTCTGAGGACCGTCATGCGTTTAAGCAACAGCCCGCAGAGCACAGCACTTTTACATAAAGAGAAGATGCCAGGGGAATTTACCTAATCAGTTTTGTGGAGGTATTCCTGTACAAGAGCAGAGAAGTGTAAGCGACCACAGCTCTCTCCACTCCCAGGGCTACAAGGAAGCTCAACGTTGCCACTATATTCCTAGGCACTGGGCACTAAGAAGTAGGTGAGTTTGGCTCCCAGTGGTTTCTTTGGGGCAAAGATTTCATGAGACAGACAAACGGGTTTACAAAGAGAAATACTTTCAGTAGATCACTTAAAAAAAAAAAAGTGGCCTAGCGTGGAGGCTCATGCCTTTGATCCCAGCATTTGGGAGGCAGAGGCAGGAGGCCAGCCTGGTCTACAGAACGAGTTCCAGGACAAGCTCTAAAGCTACACACAGAAACCCTGTCTCAAAAAAAAAAAAAAAAAAAAAAAAAAAAAAAAAAAAAAAAAAAGGGTCTGTAACATAGCTGTATGTGACTTGTGTGTTTCTGTCTCTCCTATGAGTAGTCACATTTTTAAAAAGTGCTGTGAGGGGGGGAAAAGACAACATCTACCTAAATAAATGGAATAGAAAACAATTTAGAATTAGAAATCAAAGTGATATCTCACTCTTCTTGGATTTTTTGTAGTTGCTTTTATAATTTCTTCTCCTCCTTTTTTCCTCTCCTTCTTCCTCCTCCTCCTCCTCCTCCTCCTCCTCCTCCTCCTCCTCCTCCTCCTTTCGGTTTTTTTTTTTTTTTTTTTTTTTTTGTTTTTTGTTTTTTGTTTTTTTTTTTTTGTTTTTCGAGACAGGGTTTCTCTGTGTAGCTTTGCGCCTTTCCTGGAACTCACTTGGTAGTCCAGGCTGGCCTCGAACTCACAGAGATCCGCCTGGCTCTGCCTCCCGAGTGCTGGGATTAAAGGCGTGCGCCACCACCGCCCGGCTCCTTTCGGTTTTTTGACACACAGTTTCTCCATGTAGCCCAGACTGTCCTGGAACCTGCTCTGTAGACCAGGCTGGCCTTGAACTCACAGATATCCGACTGCTTCTGACTCTGGAGTCCTGGGTTGAAGGCATGCACCACCAAAGCCTGGCCTGGCACTCAGTTTCTTTACTCACTGTGAGGCCTGATATTCCTAGTAACATTTAAGATGATAACCTTTAGCCCTCTGCTCAAGTCAGCAGAGAAAGATCTTTGGATGCTTACTACTTCCATTCTTTCAAAACATTCCACTTTTGCTTGTACTTGAGAGACAGCTAAAGCACAGCTTGTGGAACTGTGAAATCAAAGGCAGGTGGTGATAGCAATGGAGATGATGATGATGGTGCTGATGTCCATTGTATTAAGCTTAATGTAAGGCCTGGTGACTGTTCAGTGAGTACGGGTGCTACACAGCCTGACTTCCACCCCCAGAGTGCCCCAGAAGAGAGAACTGACTCCCTAGCTTGTTTTCTTACCTCCACACCTGCAAAAACCTGTAAAATATTCACTGTAAGGACTCTGTATAGCTTAGATAATGCACACAGAAAGCTTATGTACGCCGCATATGCTGAAATACGCAGTTATCACCAGCATTCTTTATCCGGGGGCAACTAAAGCTTACAATAGCATTTTTCATTAAAACTCACGGAGTCTCTGAAATTTTAAAGTAGCAGCTAAAGATTTCCTGCTATAAAGATGCTATTTTGGCCGGGCAGTGGTGGTGCACGCCTTTAATCCCAGCACTCGGGAGGCAGAGGCAGGCGGATCTCTGTGAGTTCGAGGCCAGCCTGGGCTACCAAGTGAGTCCCAGGAAAGGCGCAAAGCTACACAGAGAAACCCTGTCTCGAAAAAACAAACAAAACTGCTATTTTGTCTACCTGTGCTTTTAAGGACTGTCTTAAATTCCAAGCCTTTAAATTTAACATATATATATTATATATATGTTATATATATTACATATATATATATATTTGGAGAAATTAGTTTTTGAATAGTATTACCTAGGAGCAGATAAAATGTGCAAGTTGTTTTGTGTGTGTGTGTGTGTGTGTGTGTGTGTGTGTGTGTGTGTGTGTGTGTTCAGGGGCATTGGAGCGGGTGTGTATGCCACAGCACCTGTGTGGAGGTCAGAGGACTTCTTGCAGGAGTTAGTTACCTTGTGCCACCAGGTGGGTCCCAGGTATTGAACTGGTATTATCAGTGTTGGCAGCAAGTGCCTTTACCCATTAAACCATCTCTCCAACCCTCTTCTGTACACTTTAAAGTACATATTTCACTTATACAATGAGTAACTCTGGTCAGCATAAAAACAGTCTGCAGGAGGCAAGAGTTCCTGTGTAGACTCTCCAAACCACCACAAGTCCTCCTCCTCATCTTCAAATGGAGTTATGGAAAATGCAGAGTGTAAATTTGAAGCCAGTCATAAACAGAGAAAACAGTGGTTTAAGAATCTGGAATTTTAGCCGGGCGGTGGTGGCGCATGCCTTTAATCCCAGCACTCGGGAGGCAGAGGCAGGTGGATCTCTGTGAGTTCAAGGCCAGCCTGGACTACCAAGTGAGTTCCAGGAAAGGAGCAAAGCTACATAGAGAAACCCTGTCTCGAAAAAACCAAAAAAAAAAAAAAAAGAATCTGGAATTTTAATCAGAAAAAAATGCTTTTTTTAATTGTTGTGATTTTCATAGATATTCTACTTGAGCATTCTAATTTAATTTTTTTCTGTATAAGAATTTTGTCTATGCCTACAAGAATGATTCTTAAAGCTTGAAGAAAACTATCTTTTTTTTTCTTTTCAGATTTCAAAACAATAAAACCCTACTAGAATTTAGTGATCAGTTTTTAATTACTTACTTTGTTTGGTGAAGTTGCTTTCCTTTTCTTTTTTCTTTTTCTTTTTTTATTGATTCTTAGTGGATTTCACATCATGCATCCTGATCCCATTCATCTCCCTGTCCCTTTGTGTCCACCCTTTGCCCTGGCAACCTCTCCCCTAAAATAAAATAAATTAAAAAACAAAACAAAACAATCAAACTAATTAACATACAAAAAAGTCTCATGTTCTTCATCTGTGAAAGATAACTGCCTTTCTCTTACAATATTTAAGAAAGATTTGCGAAGCATTTAGTGCCATACCCATCACACATATTGTAAGGATCCATGTGGTTATCATTGATGGCTCTAATCACGACAGCTTTCCTTTCAATTTTTGTTTCATTAAACTCTGATGATGTTCATGGTTAACTGTAGCTAGAGTTTTCCTGCCTGACCCACAGTCAGGGCAAATCTCTCTCACCTGCCAGTCCCACAGCCGCTCAGACCCAACCAAGTAAACACAGAGACTTATATTGGTTACAAACTGTATGGCCATGGCAGGCTTCTTGCTAACTGTCCTTACAGCTTAAATTAATCCATTTCCATTAATCTATACCTTGCCATGTGGCTCGTGGCTTACCGGCATCTTCACATGCTATTTGTCATTGTGGCGGCTGGCAGTGTCTCTGACTCAGCCTTCCACTTCCCAGCTTTATTCTCCTCCTTGTCCCGTCTATACTTCCTCCTACCTGACTACTGGCCAATCAGTGTTTTATTTACCAACCAATCAGAGCAACACATTTGCCATACAGAACATCCCACAGCAGTTAACTAAACCTTTATTAGTGCTGTGGGGTTCCTTTTCTAGAAGTAGTTCTAGGGCTCTTGGCTCTGTTCGTCCACTGGCCGGTAGGGACATTGGACAGTAAAGATAAAGTCTTTGTTTTCTGAGAAAGGAGATACAGTAGCAATGCAGTTTTCCTTGCTCAAATAGAAAGCAGGAGCATCTAGTTGATGACCCTTTGTTTATTTCAGATCTACTTTAATGCTCCTCTCCCCTGTTCTAAAGAGTCAGGCATCCCTTTAGAGTGGAGCTTCTCACACTCAGTGTGTGCATGAAGAACAGGGGATCTTGTAAAGTGCAGACTGGATTCTGCAGCTCTGGGCTGGGCCCTTGTGTTCCCCTTTCCTAGCAGATTTCCAGGTAATGCTGATTCTGTTAGGTGAAGGACTCATTCCCACTCTGAGCAGAACTCCGTGCGTTCTAGCGGCAGGATGGTAGAAACAGTGCTGTGGAGTTTCATAACTAATTCCTGGAAAGCTTGCCAGAAATAGTTTCCTGTGTTTCTACTTACAAAACAATAACAGTGAAACACAATTCTAGCCCTCCCCCAACTAGATCAGGTAATGTAGTGTTATAAAAAGTAAGAGGCTGCAAGTGACTCTTCAGAAGACCTGCTGGCCCTCCTTTTCTCTCTCTCAACACAGACACCATCAGATCGTCAGCCCCTGTGGCCTGCCCAGCGGCTCACATCTATTCTCCCTCCAAGCTATTGTCTCGAGATACCATTTCTCACTTTGTTATGCTCCTTCCTCCCCTAGACACGCCTTCAGTTCCTTTCAGGATACTGTTGCTTACCATATCCAATAAAATTGCCTCGAAATTGCTTAACTTCTCTAGGCTTTTTCCCTATTCTATAAAACCAGCCTGTTTTGGTGAGTGATCCCGGAACAGAGATGACCATCACAGTCTCCTGGGGAGCTTTTGGGAAATACTGGGCATATCTGGACCTACTGCAAATTTAATCAGCTATAATCACCAGTGTGGGACCTTGAAGTGTTCCCTCCAGCCCCGTTGAAGCACCAGAACCACTGAGCTGGTGCTGTCTAAGCTCAGTGCTGGCCCGGGGTGCCTGAGTTCCAGTCTCTCTGAATGTCTGATGCACTGCTTAATTTCACCTCCGTGAGGGCAGAATCTCACTAGTCTTTTTCTGCAGCATTTTCAGTGCAATGCCCAGTACAATGCCTAAGCACATAGGAGGTGATGTTAAATCGTTTGAATGCATGGCCTCTTCTCATCTTAGGATTTCTCTAACCTTGGCCTATCCTCAGGTCCTGCCCCCTCTTCAACAGGACATGTTTCCCGTTCATTTTCACCCTCATCTGTCTATCTCCTCAGGAATGGAATAGTCCTAGCATTGGATCCTGCAGCTTCTCACCTAATCATAGCTTATGTTAGTCATTTCTTCATCTTTAGATGCTTTCCATTAGATTATATGTTCTTTATGGGTAGGAAATATGTCTTAATAGTTTCGTGCCTTTCCCTGAGCTCCTTTACTCTGGGTTCAGAGCAGAAACTTAAGCCCTAGCTTCCACTCTTCTGTGCTCCAATCACTCTGGCCTTCTGGCTTTTCAAGTTTGCCAAGGGTTCTAGCCCCCAGCGTTTGCACTTCCTGTGCCCACTGCAGGACACTATCCCTTCCTTAGCCACAGCTCACGCCCCCACCTCCTCCAAGACTTCGCTAAAATTGTACCTTCTCTGTGAGTCAGTCCTTCCCTGACTGCTGAGTGTGAAATGATACTTCTCCAGCAAGCCAGTACTTTATAGCCATTTAATTTTCTCTAGAACATTGACATCATACCCGATACTATAGAACTTATTGACTTAATCCCCCCCCAGCATATTGTTTATGTAAGCAGATTTTGTGTCTTTCCTTCATACCATTAGCACCTAGAATAATGCCTGACACAGTGTGGACATTCAACGTTGGGTTGTGATTAGTTGTCTAATGTACCCCAAACTTACAGTTACTACATTGAGTTCGTGATTCAGAAGCCTGTGCCCAGGTTTCATCAGGTGTCCTGATGCTCACACCAGACTGCAGCTGATATTCAAGATGGGAAATGGGGTCATCAGCCAGTAGCATGACGTCACTGGAAACCTGTGAGAGGGCTCCTCCTCGACCCCAATACAAAGCTCTCCCCAGCACTGTCTGTCTCTTATCATTCCTCAAGCCAGCAACTCACCCTCACCTTTTTTCTTCTTTCCCCTCTTTGCTTCAGGTCACTTATTAGATCCTGCAAACTCGACCTCCTGGGTGTGTTAAGTCCACTTACTGTGGTCTGTATCCGTTGCTGAAGTTACACGCTAGTTTTCTACCTCGAGTATAGCTCTCTCTAGATCACCACCCTGAAAAAAAAAAGTAATCATGTCATTGTTTCATTCTGGCTAAATCCTGAGGACGACCACCCTGATCAGACAGAGACTATTTAGTCAACACTTGCTGTTGGGAAGGAGTCATCTGGCATTGCTTACTTTGGGCTGAGAATGCAAGACTGGCACAAAAGCTTGATGTGGAGGGTGTGTTGTGATGATTAGAAATGGTTGCCATGGAGAAGCACGAGGTAGGCTGGAGGCTGGGCGTCCTATGTAATTGCAGTGAGAAGCATAATTGTGTATTTTATGCTGGCTGTTTCTTTTTGGCTTTCTCTGATTGGTACCGAGTTGAAATCAGGAGGTAAACAGTAGAGCAGCTGGAAGTCAATGACCAAACTTTGATTTTTCTGAGCATGTTTCTGTAGAAGTTATGGCTTGCCTTCATGGATTGCTGTGGAATTTTCAGGCTGGGCCTGAGTTCAAGCTAGACTACATAAGTAATTGTCCACAGACAAGTCTGGCCATTGTCCATTTATATATTCAGTCTCAAAACATTCCATGGCGTCCTAAGTTCTTTGCATGACATCCAGAGCCTTCTGTATGATTCCATGCTGATAGCTACCTGAGATCAGGACAGTATGCCTGTCATACTTGAAACATAGAGCCTGCCAATTAAAACTTATGGAAGGCTTGGAAAGTAGAATGTGTACAGAGCAACATCAAGTGACAGTGTGGGATAAAAACAAAAATTCCTTGCTGCTTTCTTTTTCTTTACTTTTCTTTTTCTTTCTTTCTTTCTTTTTTTTTTTTTTTTTTTTTTTTTTTTTTGAGACAGGGTTTCTCTGGTAGTTTTGTTGCCTGTCCTGGATCTCACTCTGTGTCGGGCGTTTACCCACCACCCCCACAGTTCCCCAGAGTTTTCTTGAGTGCGAGCAGCAGGAAACATTAGATAGAAAGATTTATTGCGGAGAATCTTGCGGAGATAAACAGATAGAAAATAAAGAATAGCCTTGAGAGGGCCTGGAACCTTTTCCAATGAGCCCCGACTGTCTCTGCCCCAGGGTTTTTATAGAGATGCCAGGGGGTGGAGCAAAAGACCTCCTCCCCCAGCACAGCCAAGTGCAGACCATCTCAGACACCTGCACTCAGGCCCGTGGTCCTAATCATCCTCTATGTGGACCTGCTGGGTAAAGCCACGAGGAACCCGAGAACAGGCTCCCACAACTCTGTAGACCAGGCTGGCCTTGAACTCACAGAGATCCACCTGACTCTACTTCCTGAGTGCTGGGATTAAAGGCGTGCGCCACCGCTGCCCATGCTTTCCATTTTTTATGAAAGGTTATCTGAGGAAGAAAAATTGGATAAAAAAAAAAATCATGCACCAAGTTTCCACTTCAATACCATTGTCTGACCCTCAAAGCAAATATTTCAAAAGTTAGAACACAAAGGCTATCCTATTTGCCATTAGCTGTCTCTGTATCCATAAAATCTGAAAGCGCAGGAAGAACAGAGAAAGAGCAGTAACCGTAGGTGACAGGCACTGTTAAAACTCCAAATCTCCAAAGGCAAAATTATGTTTACCCAACTATTTGTTAATGGCAAATTTAGCAATTTAATAGTCATGGTTAACAGTATTGGCTGAGGAGCTTTTGGCAGTTGATGGCTGCTCTGTGACTAAGAGTCACTTTTCTTTGAGGGGCCGCCTCAGGCAGGTCGCCTGTGCCTGATTTAATAACGTCACAGCCATGTGCCTATGGGTGGCTTTAACTGGACTCAGTGGGTTATAAAAAAATAAAAGAACTGGAAGCAGGAAGGAAGATACAGTGGAGAAAAGGGGGCTGGGAAGGTGGAGAGGGAGTGGGTACAGATGTGATTGAGATGCACTGTGTGACAATTTCAAAGAACACGTGTGTGGGGGTGGGGGTGGGGGTGTGGGAATGTGTGTGCTTGACTTAATTTCTTTATTCCTCTGGGGTGGAATAGTAAGAGCTGTGTGTTTCTAGGGTATTTTCAAGCCCATGGACCTTAATCATATCATCAAACTCCTTGAAGAGACTGATAAGGTGAGTATCCTTTGAGAAGTTACTTTGCTATCTCAGAGACTCACGTTTCCCTGAACAACAACAGGCATTCTCTCTCATGTGGACACTGTCTATCTCTTTTGTTGAAAGCTTTCTCTACAATGTATGCTTTATATTCAAGGAATTTAAATTTAGTATGAGAACCAATTTGTTTTCATAAGAGGGTCAAACCCAACCATATTGGCTATAATCAGAAGGATCTGCAAGAGTAGAGAAAGGACTTTTGATCCTGGGTTAATACTTCAAGAGTAGAGAAAAGACTGTCTATCTTGGGCATACCTCAAGAGTAGAGAAAGAGCCATCTGTTCTGTGCTAATAATTCTTGCCAAGTAGGACTAGAGAAGAGACAGTACCAAAAGGACACTAAAGAGCTAGTAGAAAAATTTTAGTCTAGACATGTAGACAGATTTATATGTATACAAAGATGATTTGTTTTAAGAAAAATGATGAGAATACAAAGAAAATATTTTTTTTATATATAAACCTCAAAAATGTATTGGGAAAAGAGATATACACACAGTACTCTCCTAATGTTTCCGAGGTATTGCCTCAGAGTTAGCACTCACTGTAGAATTACCTGTAGTCATTTTCAAAGATGAATGCACATTGTTTTGTTGTTGTTTCGAGACAGGGTTTCTCTGTGTAGCTTTGCGCCTTTCCTGGAACTCGCTCTGTAGCCCAGGCTGGCCTCCAACTCACAGAGATCCACCTGGCTCTGCCTCCCAAGTGCTGGGATTAAAGGCGTGAGGAATGCACATTTTTTAATAAATAGAAAATAGATTGACTCAGGTATAGCCATCAAAACAAAGTAACATCCTATGATTAGTAAACACAAACATTTAGCTATTGCTTAAAATTTTTAGTCTCTACTTTTTTAGAGAAGAAAAATAAAAACCACCAAGAGCAATTTATCTTTTGATGACTAGTTTTTGTGAAGTTTAAATGTTTAAATTGCAAATATATCTGCATTAAAAAAAACCACAACTGTGGAGAGTTCCTATTAGTTGTTTTTGAAGGCAGGGTGGAAAATACAGACAGTGCTTGCACTTTTCATGAATAGTTTAATTTGAAAGGGGGTAGAGGCAGGCAAGAAAACTCACTGGGTAAAGGCATTTGCTATCACACCTGACTACTTGATTTCAATCCCCAGAACCCACATGGTGGAGGGAGAGAACAAACCCCTGAATGTTGTCTACTGATATCCTCATACATGCCATAGAATGCATGCATGTGCACACACGCACATATACAATAAGTAAGTGTGAGATGAAAGAAAAGAACACATATCAGGGGTTTTGTTTTTAGTTGACACGAGTTTTGAAAACACATTACTGTATAGAGGTGTATTAACTACACTGAAAGTATATGACTCAGTGAACTTCTATACGGTCAGAATTGGCATTCAGAACAGAAGCTGTGAGACTTCACATAAAATTTTGTTTCAGGTTTTAGTATATTTTATGTATTTATCCATCACAAAAACAAAAACTGCATTACAGATTAGTAGAAAACCAATTTGCTTTATTTTCTCTGAAAACTCATGTCCATTGCTGAATTCAGTTCTTCCTTTTCCTCTTATATTTAGCCTTTCTTTTTTTTTTTTAATTTTTACTTTAATTATGTATACAGTGTTCTGCCTGCATGTATCCCTTCAGGCCAGAAGAGGGCACCAGATCTCATTACAGATGGTTGTGAGCCACCATGTGGTTGCTGGGAAGTGAACTCAGGACCTCTGGAAGAATAGTCAGTGCTCTTAACCGCTGAGCCATCTCTCCAGCCCTCTTGTTTTCTTTTTTATGTGGTACTGTATCCATATATACATTTGCTTTTTATGTGAGACTTAATAATTTTAATGTGTCTATACACTGAATACATTTTTTAAAATCTTAACCAATTTAATGACACAAAAGAACTAACAGACCATTTGTTTTAGGATGACTTAGAAGAAAAACAACTTGATTGTGTCAAGAAACTGGTGCACTGTTATCAGAATGGATTTGTATCCTTTATATCTGTGCGTGCGTGCGTGCGTGTTCATTTCATTCATCTGGAAACACTGGGAAATGTACTAGATTCCTTCCTTTTGACCCAGTACCAAGGTGTCGCAAGCCATGTAAGTTTATTATCTGATAGCTGTAGAGATCAGCAGCTCAGAGTTCATCTCACTTGGCTAATGTCAAGGTGTCAGCAGGGACTGGTACACTGAAGATCCAGGAAGGAGGTGAGGGGCCGTTTCCTTGACTTTGCCGCCTGCTGTGGGCTTCCTGCAGACCATTGGCTCCTAAACTGGTGCCTCAGTGATATCACTCTCACCTCTGCTTTGCTATAGCTTCTCATCCTCCTGCCTCTGACACTCCTGTCTCTCACGTCCCCTTATAAAGACCCCGTCATGGTTACAACTGAATCTATCTGGATAATCTAGTATAATAGTCTGTCTTCATTTACTTTTGTTTTCCATGATAAAATGCCATGACCAAAAGTAACTTGGGGATCAATGGGTTTATTTCAGATTACAGTCTGTCATAGAAGGAAATCGGGCAGGAACTCAACCTAGAGGCAGAGCTGAAGGCGAGGTCATGAAGGGAGACTGCTCACTGGCTTGCTCCTGTGGCTGCTCAGCTACTGTTCTGTATAGCTCAGGACCAGAGGACCACATGCTTAGTTAGAGGTGGCATTGCCCACCATGGGCTGGGCCCTCCAGCTATCATTAATCAAGAAAATGCCACACAGACTTGCCTACAGGCTAGTTTATGGGGGCAGTTCCTCAGGTGGGGTTCCTTCTTCACAGAGGACACTGTCTTGTGTCAAGTTGACAGAAACTAGCAAGGACAATTTCCCTCTAACATCCTCAACTGCATTTGAGAGTCTCTTTGCCATCCAAGGTAGCCTCTTCAAAGGTTCCTGAGACAGAGACATGGCGTCATTGAGTAGACTATTATTCTCTCCATTATATTGTTATTAACTCTGCATAATGTCAATTCCTATAGATTCAAAAGCTATTAATATGATTAGGAGGGCCAAGTCAGCCTCATTTCTGCCAGTATACATAGCGAGTTTCATCTTGATTACTATCTTATCGGCTCTTCGCTTGTGAAATAGGAATGATCCCACCTCAGTAGGTTATTAAGAAGATCAGATGAGATAATAATCCCTTATCACAACAGGTAGAAACCAGTACTCACACCTCAAAGCTATCTATCTGTATGTAATAACCAATTTTATGCTGGTAGCTATTTGCTTTTTAAACTTTTGTATACAGATGATTTGAAAAGTATAATAAAAGTTTCACAGTTACATCAGGTTGTTATACATGTTTTAAAATGCCTACTCTCAAGCCAGGTGTGGTGACTCATACCTGTAACCTCAGCACTCAGGAGGTAGAAACTAGAGAATCAAGAATTCAAAGCCAGCTTCCATATGTAGTAAGTGTAAGGCCAGCCTGGGCTAAATGACACTCTGTTTCAAAACAACAACGAAAGTCAGTCTTCACTCTCTGCACTCTGAACCCCCGAGCAAAGGTCCACAGACCCTGCTCTGGGTGGAACTGGACTGACTCTTTGCTGACAGTCGTCTGATTTGGTCTAAAGAAGATGTCCGTCTAATCAAAACATCTTAAGCTTTCCACCAAGAGAAGGGGACACATCTTATAACTTTCTGTAAATATTTTCTTTATAGTAGCCTTGTTTTGTGAGGCTCTGTTGGAGCAGTCTGAAAGCTTGTGTATATTAAGTACTATTTACTGGTAGCCAAGGAAGTCTACTAGCAAGTATTTATTCCCTGTTTAATTGGACACCTCAGCACCTTCCTGATTATTTTTTCCTCAGGATAGACAGTTGGTAGCAAGTAGCTCTGAACAGCTTTAACAGGCTGGCTTTATATGTTGTGGTACTTTATAAAGTTAAATTAGGGAAGGATCACTTCCCTAGGAAGTTGTTAGGAGACTTTCCTGGAGAGACGTGAGCAAACACTTATTTACCTAGATATCACTGATAACAGACCAAAGTAACAGTCCCACCTAGTCTAGCTTAGTGAACCGGTGAGTCTGTTGTGGTCTCTTGCAGAAGTATGCAGGAACAGTTGCTTAACAGGAGTCTAGATGACTCAAAGGCAGCTGTGGCTCTGAAATGCCCACCAGAGTGATGACTCATGAGATCTGCATCACTGAAGCTTCCTGCAGAGCTTGCAGGCATCTGGCCAGCTGCAGAGTCTCCTTTTCCCAGCAGATGTATGTCTTTAATACAACCTTGGAGAGGGACTTCATGAATCTTCTAAGTTCCCGCTTTCTAAAGTTGGTCAAGTTTTGTTTATTTCCTGAGCCTTAGGAACCTCTGTCCTTGTCCCAGGAGACAATGCTTTAATTAGAAGGAAATTTCTACACAGCACTGCACCCCTTCCTCCAGCTCTTTCATTCTTTCTGCCTTCCCTTCTGCATTTTCCCTTGATCCTTGGATGGGGTGATATAGATGTTGGATTAGTTTCCCTCATCTGTGGCAGAGTGTTGGACAACTATGCCCGAGCAACAGTCAAGTCCTCTCAGAAGTTTGATGTCTTATGAGTCTCTGACGTACAACACCCATTGAGAAAAGAAAGTTTCCCTTTTTGACTGAGGCTGACAGCAGCAGCAATCTACAGACATAGTCAGAAGTGTTTAGAAGGCGATTTAACAAGCTGATTCCATCTACTTAACAAGACAGGAGTAGTTGCATCCCCACTGAGACTTGCGACCTCTTCAGCCAGGGACTTTCCACTTGGCTGTCAGTTCCAGATGTGAACCTCCTCCGTGGAGTGGGGTTCCAGATGTGGATCTCCTCTGTGGAGTGGGGTTCCAGATGTGGGTCTCCTCCGTGGAGTGGGGTTCCAGATGTGGATCTCCTCCGTGGAGTGGGGTTCCAGATGTGGATCTCCTCCGTGGAGTGGGGTTCCAGATGTGGGTCTCCTCTGTGGAGTGGGGTTCCAGATGTGGGTCTCCTCCATGGAGTGGGCCTTAAACCAAACAGCAGCTGGTTGTGTCCACAACAGTGTGCCACTGTTGCATCAGCAGGTGTGTTTTCACGGAATGTTGGTGCTGCAGTATTGCAGTATGCATGGCTAGGGAGGACTGTTATTACAGGTCTCCTTTTGCAGCCTGCAGAGCGCCTCTGGCACTACGAAAGCCAGTTGGTAGGGAGAACTTCCAGTGTAGTCTCAGGTTAATTTCTTCATGTCCTATGACCAAAGCATGCAGTATCTTCAACAATATGGACTTGCTGTCTAATTCTAGCACGCAACCAGTAGCAGTGGCAATAGCCTTCATGGTTTGGGGCACTTTGGGAAAACTCCTTGGCCAATAACTCACAGGAAAGTAGCCTACCCTGCCGTTAGATTTTTATTTAGCAGTCTTATGGCTTTGGGGAATGGCTTTTCTTTTCTTTCTCCTCTCTGTCTCTCTGTCTCTCTCTGTCTCTGTCTCTGTCTCTCTCTCTCTCTCTCTCTCTCTCTCTCTCTCTCTCTCTCTCTCTGTGCGTGTGTGTGCGCGTGTGTGTGTCTATGTGTGTGTGTGTGTTTCCTTCATCCTTTACATTCACTCAAAACAGTGTTTTTGATTATTTTAATTCTAATTATATATTACATGCAAATGTTACATCAGCTATAGATGGACAGAAGTGAAAAGAATTGGGGGGTACAGATTCAGATCTCGATTGCTGATAGTTCTGATACAATCCAGGAGTTTCTTTCTTAATGGATTTACTACCTGTTTCTCTCTCCTGCAAACTATTGTCCTGCCTACTACCCAGCCCCATCTACATCAGATCTGAGGAATGAGTCTTCCTAGCTATGAGGGACATACTATAATATTTAATAAATGATATGTGGCCTCCAAATGCATAAAATGTGATGCTGGCAAACAGGGAACTCTGAACAAAAGAAAGTACACCTTCAAATGGAAACTCCTGTCAGGCTGATTAATTGATTAGAATTTAATGACCATAAAGAGGTTGGAAGATTATAGGTCCAGAGTCTAATTACAATTTATCTTGGGTTATCTTTAGCTCCCTAAATAGCCGTTACTTCCCCATCTCTGTGTGGACCTAACATCCTGTGACTAACAGATAAAAACCTTTTGGAAGGTATTAACTTAATAAAGCTGTGTTTTCCACCCACTGAAAGGCCGAGTGACATCATATGGTGTCTGAGCCCCACAGTCACTATTTCTCTGCTTTGCTGTAGCCACCTACTTAATGTTTCCACCAATGTGCTTGGAAAGTGCTTTGATTTTGTATTTTCTTTGTCCTGTTGATATAAACTGCTTCCAGAATGGAACATGGAATTTGACACCACAGCTGTGTCCCCAGGCCATGTTCACTCAGAACGTTCACTCCAGAATAAACCGTCTCTTATCCCCATTGAGGTGAGAGTTGTGTTTTCCCATTGACATTACATTTTGTTGTGGTAACTGTGACCCAAAGTGATTCACAGAAAAAGAGTTTATTTTGGCTTCCCGTTCAGGAGGGTGAGTTCACAATGGTGGGGAGGCCTGACAGTAGGAGGCCAGAGGTCACATCTTCAACCACATGCAGAAAGCAGGGTGCAAGAACTGGAAGTGGTGCGATGCTATGAACCCCCAAAGCCCATCTGCAGTTCTCCAAGGAAGGCTCCTATCCAAAACATTCCCAGACATTACCACAAGTTTAGGATCAGGTGTTGAAATACGTGAGTCTATGGGGAACGTTTCTCATTCAAACTACTACACTGTATAAATTTGAGAGACACCCACATTAAATCCATCACATATGGATTTAAGATTAAGAATATTGCTGAATGTAGTGGTACATGCCTTTATTTCCAGCACTTAGGAGGCAGAGGCAAGTGGATCTCTGAGTTCAAGGCCAGCCTGGTCTACATAGTGAATTCTAGGACAGCCAGAGCTACATAGTGAGACTGTGTCTTGAAAAAACAAAAAAAGAACTAAAGAAAGAAAACCGAATATTGCTGAGCATGGTGGCTCATTACTGTAACCCTCGCATTTGGGGGCTGGGGGTTACTGGAAATGTGAAATCACTTGTGCAAACTAGTAAATTCCAAGTCAGGTGGGTTCACAGACCCTATCTCAAAACACTGTGTGTGTGTGTGTGTGTGTGTGTGTGTGTGTGTGTGTGTGTGTGAGTGATAATTACTCAGATACTTTCTGATGTGTTAGATTTTTTTTTTGAAGGCCTTGTTTTCACTAGGTATCTGTCTTTAGCTAGAAAAAATTTCTTTACCATTTATTTTAGTATAGTCATGAATTCTCTTGGGGCTTTTCATTAAAAATAGTATTTTTGCCTCACTTATTAAATAATATTTTATTGAAGATAGGAAGAATTCTAGGCTGATATTTATTTGATCATTAAATATTTTTTACTTTAAGTGTTTTACATGTAATACTTGTATTCGTGAGCTCATGGGAACCACATTGTGTGCAGTTGGGGGAAAGGCTTTTCTTACCTGTGCCAGCTAGCCTTGTACTCTGTATTTACTTGGTCTCCAAGTCTCTAAGATGCTCAGAGATTAATACTGTGTTACCCATGCAATGAAACCTTCTTATAGAGGATAGACAGGGTCTCTGAAAGCCAACCACTATCTATTCCAAACAAGTATCAGATAACTCAGGAATCGGCATCTAGGGAAATACAGAAGTAAAACATTAGCAAGGTTTGATACAACATGGAAAGATTTCATCACCTGTATCAAATTGTTTAGTCAAAGAGCAATGTGGGTACAGAAGTTTAGACAAAGAGCTACCCCATTAAGCCCTCCATGACCCATAGGTACTCTCCACAATTTTTCTTTCTCATCCTGTGGCACTGCCATGGGCCTCCTGAGCATCTTGAGCAGCTACTCACCCACAAATACTAGGCAGGGCCAGCTCACACTGCTCTGACTTACCCAAGTCACGGAGGAGCAGGATTGTGTTCAGGCCTGCTTCACCTGCTGCTCAAGCTGGTTCCCTGGGTCTGCAGGCTCCAGACTGAAACTGAGGCTGCAGCTGTTGATATTGCCTCTCCCTCCAGCCACCCCTGGTTGTTGTTACAGGTTCAGGATGGGCAAAACGATTTTCACCCCCAGCACACTGTTTACGGGAGAGAACTGTACACAGTTTAATCTGGAGGCATAATTGTCTGCCTCCTGGAACAAGTTTATTCCCCCCCCCCCCAGTTTAGAATTTATTCATCTACAACATGGCACATTTAACGAGGCCGTGAGTGAAATGATGAAATTTATATATACATTATCTCCTAACAGAGAAATGTCCAAGTTTTAATTTTAATAGTAGTTATTTTTCAATATTATTGGGAACTTTAAAATAGTAGTAGATTGATTTGTGGTGGTGATACTTTTTACAAGATAAATTCTGTCTGCATGGCTGTCCATCAGTCATGATCATTTTCTTCCAGTATGAAGGGACTGCTGCTGAGATAAAGAAGGAAGGAGCTGCATGCGGACCATAAAACATTTCCAGAGCTTTCCCTGACAACAAAGTTCACTTTCTTCCAATACAAGCTTAGTCTTTTGCATCTTGTTTTATCATTTATGCTTTCTATGAACTTTTTTCAGATTTTAAAGCCTTCTAGAAGTTTACCAGCATGAATTTAGCTTCTGTCACTTTCCTTAGGAACTCTGGCTGGATACAAATCTCACGACATTTGATTTATAGTAGCCTAGGTCCACGAGGTCCACGAGGTCCACGAGGTATATATGCCCTTTGTCTGCTTTGCCCTCCTTTCATCTCCCCCAGGTTTTGTTGTTTTGTTTTTCAATTTGCATACTTGAGTTGCATGCAGACCCCGGTTGTGTGCCGCCATAAGTCAGATCACCAGAGCCTTCACAGGATCATATAATCTCTATAAGATTGTATAATCAATAAGATCATATTCACCATAGGGCTCAGGAAAGCCACATGAGATCCCTCCTAAATCAACCTTTTAAAACATTAGTTATCAAACACATCTCTGTGTGGCCTGGTGAACTAGTCATTGAAAAATACCTCTCTCACACCCAGTTCCCTCAGTAATGCCTGTCTCTATTATCTTTCAGTTCCTGGTGTTCCTGGGAACTTGAGCCAACACTAACCAAGTGTCCCTAATAGCACATGAGTCAGCCCAACAGGAACTGGTTTTCCTCGACTTGCCTCTGATTGTGCAGCTTTTTTCTCCAAGAGGGATAGTCATATTACTCAGCTTCTCCACAGCCACGGTACTCAGGCTGAACCCACTCCCATGTCCTATAGCCTTGTGAGCCAAACTGTGACAGGCTCTGTCATTACTCATTAAAAAGAATTTCCCAATTCAGGCAGTTCAAGTGCTGAGTAGTACACAGTTATCATAATTCTTCCTACTGGGCCATTATTAAGACTCCTGTCTATATGTTGAGTGATGAGTTTTTCCTTCTCTGTTAAAGGTCAAATCTGAGGGAGGTCTTTTATCATGCTGACCATGTTCTCTTCCTCACTGTCCATTGTTAAGTCATGTTAAATCATGGATTTGTCCCTTCGTCTTTATTAAAGGTCAGACCCAAGGGATGTCCATCATTAATTCCGCTATGTCCTTCCTCAATGTCCATTGTTAAGGCCCTCATCTGCATCTTAGATCATAGGTTTTCCCTTCATTTCTATTAAAGGTCAGACCTGAGAGGTATCTTCTATCACTTCTGCTTTGTTCTTGTTCTCACCGCTGTTGGATTCTTCCCACAAGCTCTAAATTCCCGGACCTCAGGAACGACTTTCTAGTACAGCTCTGACTTATGCTCTCTTCCCTTCCATCTCCTCATCATGACTTACGGCTCTTGGTTGAATCCTGTCATTTCCAGCTGCTTGGTAGGAATGCCATAGGAATTACTCCCCAAATCAGAGGCTAACGTGGAGGGTGATAGCTATGCCCCTTCCCTTTGCAATTCCTCCTTTAAACAAGCGCTGTAGGTTAAGCAGTCGTGTCTGCCCTGTTTGCACATGTTATTACATGTAGCAGTAGACATGCCGAGGTCAGCACAGCTTGCTGACAGTCTTGTGTCGTGGGTGCTACTCTTGGGGGACTGTCATGCAATCTCTAGTCCTTGAACTGTTGTCAGAGTACTCATGCAGTACTCATGCAGTGGATCCCACTCATCAAGGAGACACACCTCTCCTATACCACATAAAAGAAGATGACTAATTTGGATCCCGCCCATCCCTCCACAAGGGTCTTCCATTCTGAGACGGCTCAGCCTTGGCTGCATGTCCTATCACACATCTCAGGGAGCATGCAACAACCACTACAACAAGGATGCACACCATCCCTTATGACATGGAGAAAAGTACCTGTATTGGGGTTGTCCCCATGGACTCTGCCTTCAAACTGACTAGCCACAGAGGCATGTCTCATCACACACTGCAGGAACCGTACAATCACTCTGCCCCAACACCTCTTTGCTTCTGTCTGTTCCTGTTCAGACACCAACTGTGTTCTGTGTTCCTGTTCAGACACCAATTGTGTTCTGTGATCTTTCCTGGGGAGACATGAACAGAACCTATTTACTCAGATAAAGCACTGATGACAAACCAAATAAACAGTTCTACCCAAGCCTAATTTAGTGACTTTATTGGGGTGACTTGCAGAACCACAGATGACTCAAAGAAAGCTACGTTACCAGAAGACACACTCCATCATTAATGAGAACTCACAAAGCTACATCCTTGCAACCTGTATGCACCTCCCTCATAAATTTCAGCTCGTAAGATTTTTTAATTCCTAAGGCATATGAACCTCTTCTCCCTAAGGAGTAAATGTTTCAAATTCAGAGGTGATTGTTACATAACAAAAGTTAACAGAGGCGTTCCCATCCTTGCCTAAGAAGCTCTCAGCAAAGCTAGAGAAAATAGTATGCAGCCCAGAGCCTGAAGTCATAACCACCATGATCTCTTAGCCATCAAGCAAAATCAATGAGATTTAGTTTTGTAGTAATCATGCTTTTTTATTTTTATTTTTATTTATTTATTTTGGTTTTTCGAGACAGGGTTTCTCTGTGTAGCTTTGCGCCTTTCCTGGAACTCGCTTTGGAGACCAGGCTGGCCTCGAACTCACAGCAATCCGAGTGCCTCTGACTCCCAAGTGCTGGGATTAAAGGCGTGCGCCGCCGCCACCTGGCTAATCATGCTTTTTTAAACAGGCAAAATAGAATATGTTTTCATCCAAAGATCTAGAAGAGGTATATTTTGCTTTTATGTGAGTTTTAAATGAAATAAAGTCCCAACCAATTTAATGCTAATTAGGAGAAAATGCATCTGAACAAAATAAAGTCCTACATTAAAATAGGATTTGAGCTCTGTCTGTTTGTGTTGTGGGTTGAAATAAAAGTTACTGAGACAAAAAAAATGTTGCTAAAAATAGTTATAAATTTTTTCTTTAGACTCCAAAATAATTAAAATAATGCTTACTACATTTAGCAAGATAGATGGAATTTCATAAGCTTTTTGGGGGAAAGGCCCATTGACATGTGCTTATAAATCGATGATTTTATTTCTTAACAAAACTTTGAAGCCTCTAAGGGACCTGGCACAGGTGTTTAAAATCCTGGGTCTGTGTGCTGATAAAATTGAAAGGCAGCCCTGCTTTGTGGAACCCGCATCTGAACTCATAAAATTGTGTGGGTAAGTTGTTTAACTTTACTTTGTCCTGCTATATATGACATCATGCTTTATGTTGTGTTACAAAGGTATTGGATATATAGTGTATTGATAATATAGAGTTTAGCTGGGTGGTGGTGGTGGCACTTACCTTTAATCCCAGCACTTAGAGGCAGAGGCAGGTGGATCTCTGTGAGTTTGAGGCCAGCCTGGTCTACAAAGCAAGTTCCAGGACAACCAGGGCTCTACAGAGAAATCCTCTCTGGAAAAAAAGTGTGTGTGTGTGTGTGTGTGTATGTAATATAGAGCTAAAAAGCAAAACAAACAACTTGGTGACAGTTGGACAGTTATTATTTCAAATGTTGGAATCTCAGATTGCTACAGAAGAGATTAAATTGAAGTATAAAATACTTTCTTGTAAGTAGTTACTGTCACGTGATTGGTGAGCAGCAGATGAAACCAAAAGACTGTAGTTTTTTGAGAGGATCTTTAAATAAACTAGTGTTACTTAGTTTCAGTTTGGTTTTCTTTTTTCTCTTTCTTAGGAAAATTTCAGTCTCACAAATATATTAAGTTCTATGTAGAGTTTCATTTGATTTTGCAATTTTGAATGAGGGAGAAAATTCTGTATATACATATATATACACTAAAGGTTATATAAATTAGAGGTAAGAGTTATAAAATTAATATGCCTTATCCTCCTCTGTTGTAGTGTCTACACCAGCTCTGGAAACTACGCACACACACACATATAATGCTTCTTTGCTGCCACATAGTGGCTACTCTAGATATATGTTTAAATAGCTACTTTCAGGTCACTGCAGTGTTAGTAGAAGAAACTTATTAGTTGGAAAGAAATCATTTTGTCTTCCAAATCTATCTACCAATTTAATGTTGTAAATAGCAAACTGACACTATTAGTACTATTCACTACTATATACATATATATATATATATATATACACACACACACACACACACACGCACACACACATGCACATATATATATATGTAAAATTCCAAGTCTTAGATATAGCAGCAGTAAAATTAAAAATTTTGTTGCAATTTTGATACCATACTAAAATAATGAAAAATAGTTTACCAAATGCATATGCTTGGCCTTTTTAATAGAGACTGTATAAATAAATAAATAAATGATTTTTCTAGTGCTTCCAAGGAAGTAACGATTAGTTACATGTTGACATTTGACTGTATCACAGACAGCCCTTGGGGTGTGCATGCTGTGCGGGTCCTGAAGGCCTGGGTTCACAGCTTTACCTCAGTGTCGTTGCTGCATAGAGCTGGTTCTCAGGCTGTGGAGTGTCTCTACAAATCTTTTCAACTGTGTTCCTCCTTTCCCTCCTTTTGAAGTTATCACATTATTAATTTTCTTACATGTCAAATGTCCACCTGTATTCAGCATTTCACTACACCCAGTCCTCACTTGATTTTGAAAATTTTGGAGATTAAAAAATTGAAAATACATCAAGTTTTTCTTCTTTGGTCTCCAGTAAGCTTTTGTATTATACCAGGAGCACATTTTATTTTCTCCATAGCCTTTTGGGTTGGACCCCCCACACACCCCGTTACTTTATCCTATAGTAATCTCCTTTGGTAGAAAAATGAAAAATGGGGCAAGATATTTATAGTTTCAGTTTTAAAATCTTCAGATGCCCATCATTCAACTAGATGATAAATCTTTTTATTTGTTCCAAATTTAATTCTAATGGAGTAGGAACGAGTTCCCATAGTAATTATAAAATTGTCTCTTTGTAGCTTGCCTTGATATACTTTTAAATTCAAATTAACTCCTGTAGTGTGTGGCCACATATGATAACTCTCAATGCCACTTTCCAACTATTTGGTAAATGTTTTTGAAAGACATGAGTTGGAAGTCATTTGTGTAAATGTGTTATGTGTCAAACAACACAGGAGATTCAAATGGCTTATATTTTGTTTTAAGAAGTAACTTTTATCTCTCCCTTGAAATTTAGGATAATGAACAATTCATAAGCTTGATCTGTGATTTATAAATAAGTATTTTCAGATAACTTTGATTATAGTAGCTATGAATTGCAATTCTGATATAACTAATGTTTTTAAAGTCGAATCCTTATTGTTCCCCAAAGCGTTCTGTTCTTTTGTGAATAGTTCCTAATCTAGTTAATAAGGAGAGGGCACTGACCTTTGGAAAGAAATAGACCATTAATCTGGTACCTCCCGCCTTAGAAACTTCAGGAAGAGCCATTAGACATTTTTAAGTTTTAGTTGAGTCTTCCTAACAGCGATTACAAGTATAATTCACTATGACTTTGCCCTCAGAAAAATAATTCGTGTTTTAGCCACAGTGATGGAGGATTACTTTCTCAGCTCTGCCTCTCTTCATTCTTATGACAGTGTTTTGTTTTTGTTTTTTCTCTCTGGTTGGTTGGTTAGAAATACAGTTTTCTTCTGATTGTTGTCAGTGCTCACACTAAAGAATGAGAGAGGCTGGGAGAGAGAATCACTTTATTCTTTAGAAAATAAATATTTCCCCTTTATAAGTGAAGCATCAATCAGTGACTCCGTTAAAAGTTACTCTGACTCTTTGTTCTCATTGAAGCTTGCCATTTTTGAAAAAGAAAGTATCAGATGAAATAACCTACACTGAAGATACTGCTAATTCGCTTGCACTTCTGGGTAAGTCAAGGTTTCTTACACGGGATATACAATGGCAGGACCAACATGGGGAAGGGAGTGTGCCTGCCTTCACTGTTTCCTTAACGCTATCCTCCACACCGGGGCTCGTCCCTTATTTTATACTTGAGAGTTATCACGGTGGTGTACTCAGTGGTGATTCCAGAACTGTTTTCTTCTGAGGCTTTCAAGACTGGATTTACTTCTCTGTACACATTTGATTAGATGTATAATTGAGTTGTGGGTTTGTTAACCTTTTTTTTCGTAGTTCTTTGAGAGGTTCATACAGCATCTTTTGATCACATCCGCCCTCACCCAGCTCTTCCTAGATCATCGAGACCAGTTTGTGCTGCCCAAATCTTCTTGAACGTGTGCTCTTTCACTGGAACATGCATGCTGGGAGAAACCAGTCTCCCCCTCTGCCAACAGCGATCAGTGGCCAAGAGCTCAGAGCTGGGGTGTAATTTTATGCAATCTTCATTTAGTAATCACAAAAATGTTTTCACATTTGAGCTTTTATATTGAGTTACTAAAACTGTTGAGTACTTCCTTGTTCACTGCATGCTCCAAACTTTTAAATAAAATCAAATGTGAAAAATGTTATAAAAGAGTATGTATTTATATCTAGGTTATTTTTTTACTTTTTGGAAATAGGAAAATAATTCCTAAGAAATGAGATCATGTGAAACACTTTCTGAAAATTGGCCCCTGGGGCATGATGATACATTTTCCAAACAAATACTATGTTAAATTTGCAGTTACTAATTTAAGTCTTTTTTTTTTTTTTTTTTTTTGGTTTTTCGAGGCAGGGTTTCTCTGTGTAGCTTTGCGCCTTTCCTGGAACTCGCTTTGGAGACCAGGCTGGCCTCAAACTCACAGAGATTCGCCTGGCTCTGCCTCCCGAGTGCTGGGATTAAAGGCGTGCGCCACCACCGCCTGGCAAGTCTTTATTTGTAAAAGTGAAATAATAGGTAAATGATTGAATAAAACTATTTACCTAAATTATTTTCTCAGTACTATACTTCATACAAAAAGTTTTTAGAGGGTCAACTAAAATGAATAAGAAGCATTTTTGTTTTTAACATTAAATATTACTTATAATTCTTTTATGTTTAAGTTTCATCATCTTCAACTGTAGTTACTCAGAATAAACTTCCTAAACTTCATCTCAAACAGTAGAGGAAAGTATCACAAAGACTAGATTAAACGTGGAGAATTAAAGAAAACCTTACGATCAGGCAGGCTCAGAAGAAGTGGGAGATTTCAATTCTGCCATTAGTAGAAAAGTTAAATAGGAAGCCATCCTAAAAGATGACATGCTAATATTAAAAAATATGAAGGTTTTGTTGGTAATATTATTTTAAATGTCACTGTTGGCCCTACTCTTCTAGAGTGCTGCCTCCTAGAGAATTGGCTGACATTTTTATAATAATACATGACCTATCATTAGATTATTCTTTGCTTAGTGACAGCCTGCCAGTAAAAGTACATTATATTGCCACTACAAACAATATGAGCTCTTAACTTCTTATTAATTCCCTCTGCTGATTGTGTAGTGCAAATACTACTCTGTCCCCTACCTTTTTAAATTGCTGGAAAAATGAAGTAAATAAAAATACCCAATATGAAGTATTGAATAAATATATTCATGACCATTACTAATAACTCCCAGGTTCTACCATGTATTGGTCTGCCGGCAAATTGAGAGCAAAGCTAATATGGAATTTTAAGGAAAGAATACATTATGAAACACAAGCTTCTGAATCTAGTTAGGAAGAATACTAACCTTTATTTTATCAACAGTTACCATCACGTGTAGCACTTAACAGTGTGCTAAACATTATTCTCAATCCTTGTCTTATATGAAATCAATCTTTACAGCATTCTTAAATGTAATAACTGTTATGCCTGGTTTATGGATGAAAAAATCAAATACTAACTAGTTTACACACTTTTAGAATATAGCAGAGCCAGACTTTATTCTTGGTCTGTCTCCAGTATCTATACTATTAGTATCATTCTCTTCTTTCTGGAAAGGACAGGCTGAAATGATTGAGATGGAAAATCGTAAGGATAGATTCAAAGTGTTACATAGACAGGTATGTATGTGTGCATGTATGTTTACTTATACTGTCATGCACTATATCACTTCATTTCACCCAGCAACAGAACATATATAAGATGGTGGTCCTATAAATCTATCATTGGGCCAAAAATTATATCATTTATTGATGTCATAATTTGCCATAGTGCCACTCATTATCCACATTTGTGGTGATGGTGATAGAAGCCCCCCCCCCATTGCCAGTTCTGTGAAAATAGAGCAGTCCAGTGGTATACAGTGCAGAACACTTGATAAGTGACGAGTGACTGTGTCCCTGGATTATGTATTTACTGTATTTTATCATTTAGATAAATGAATGTACTTTATACTTAGTATTTTTGAATTAGCTGTCAAAGAGTATACTGTTTGCCAGCAGCAGCCTCCTACATCTTCCATTCACTATGTACCTCAGTTGCTCTGTTCTCTTGTGCTTAATTTAATATCATATTTGTGTAAGTATACAATGTGTTATTCATATAAAAATAGCACCTAACAAGGAATTTCCCAGAAAAGACTCCCATATGATAGTGATGTATGATGGCTCAAAAGTGTATGTGTTGATCACACATGTAATTATAAGACTCAATATGAATAGCTAATGAGATTTTAAAATAAATGTTGTAATATCAGTATTCTATGCTTACATTTTTAAATAAACTTATAACATGTTATCACAGTACTCTCCTTTATTCTTCTGGCAGGTGAATTAATGAAAATACCAAGTTCTAAGTTAAGGATACAAATTTGTAAGTGTATTATTGACTTCTATCATGCAGAACCACCAAAAAAGCATATTCCAGGTAAAGTTTTCATTTATCTTTCCGTGATAACTTGTGTCTTTGGGAAACAAAAAATTCATCTTCTTGTATTTCACTAAACTTTGAAAACACAGGGCTCATGGATTCAACACAAAAATAATTTTTGTGTAGCTTTGACTTCTTCAGTTATCTTTAAAAATTGTATAAGCTTTTTTTTAGTTTGGGGCTGTACATCAAATTTTTATCTTGATGGTAAATATTTATGGCCCAGTTGATATAGGCATAGCCAATTAAGTTTGTTACTAGTAGTATTTCCTTTTTTTGTTTTTTTTGAGACAGGGTTTCTCTGTGTAGCTTTGGAGCCTATCCTAGAACTCACTCTGTAGCCCAGGCTGGCCTCGAACTCACAGCGATCCACCTACCTACCTCTGCCTCCTGAGTGCTGGGATTAAAGGCGTGCTCCACTACTGCCCAACTCTACTAGTAGTATTTCTTAGTAGTGAAAATAAAATTATTTTAATCATAATATCAATACATCTAAGTAGATGTTGAATTAGTAATACTGATGCCATTCTCTATTATGTTTGGGGAGAATTCTGTATATTATAGCTAGGAAATCTTAAGACATACTGATGAGTAGATTATATCAAGCATTAGCATTGTGAGGCTATAATGTTATTTAAGACATACCTCTTACCTTCATTGATTATATAACTTGCAATCAATATAGTAAGGGAGAGAATAAATAAATGATATTTTGGAGTTACATGTTTTTAAATAGATAAAAATAAGACTATGGTAGTCTAAAAATGTATAACTAAGGAGAACATGACAAGACATCTGAGGTAGTGAAATATATAAGGAGATTATTAAACATACAATGTGAAGTCTCAGGTAGACAGATTGGAGAATTTAGTGAATAGTAGACATTGAATTCTAAAATCTTCAGGGATCAGAAAAACAGGCTTGGAATTCACTGAGTGGAAATGAAAATTGAAACTGTCAGTGATTGAATTAGTCAGGAAATAAATCATGTAAACAGCAAGGGACCAAGAAGAACACTATGAAGAGTGTTTATATTGAGAGTTGGAAAATATGATTGAAAGAATTAAGGGATGTTTAAAAGGGATCCAAAGAATAGAAATGTTCAAAAAGAGGAAGATCTCCATCTGCCATTGCAGATCATCACTGAGATCCCATGAGTGCTCCTGAGACTGCAGGCCACCTCGTTTCTGTTGCACTGTGACCTGACCAGGCAACAGGTGAGAACAGCTGTGGAGAGAACCTGGGACACGAGAAAGCTGAAAAAAGACAAAAGGGAGAACGCCAGAACATCAGAGAGAAGTACACCGACCTCAAGAGAGACTTAAAAACCGACATAAAACTATGTAACCAATGTGGAGAAATGTTGAGCCAGACTCTAGGTTATATTCTGAACAAGAAATTTCCTCTTGGTATAAACCATGAGAAAATTGTATTGTGGAGAAGTAGATATTGCCCTTTCATTTCCAAATGTACCCTCCAATGATCAGCCTGCTCACATACTAGACCAAATGAGTGTCAGGAAAGAAGAGAAACCATATAAATAAATGTAAGGAACACAAAGTTGCTAACATCCCCAGTGTTCTCCAAAACATTAAAGGGCACATAATGATGAGAACCCATATATAGATAAGCAAAGAGGGAAAGCTTATACGACTCTGCCAGCCGTTCAGAGACACATGGTAACACACAGTGTAGAGAAACCGTATAAATGTAAGGTGTGTGGTAAAGCCTTGGACTGTTCCACTTCATTTCTAACACATGAGAGAAATTGCTCTGGGGAGAAAGTCTGTGAGTGTAAGCAATGTGGGGAAGCATGTGATTTATCTTGCTCTATTCAGAGACATGCATGAAATTATGCTGGAGAGAAACATTATGCATGTAAGCAATGTGAGACAATCTTTAGTCGTCCATGTTCCCTTCAAATGTGTGAAAGAACACATTGGAGAGAAACCTTACGTTTGTAAGCATTGTGATAAAACCCATTGTGATTGTCACAATTGGTTTCAAATACATGAAAGAACTCACATTGGAGAAAAAAATGATATATGTAAGCAATGTGGGGAATCCCTGAGTGGTTCAGGTCCCTTTGCATATGTGAAAAGATTCATAGAGGAAAGAATCCTGTCTTATTTAAGCACTGTGGTGAAACCTTCAGCTGCTCTACTTAACTAGTAGAGACATACAGAAATTCAAAAAAGAGAAACTCAGTGTTGTAAGCAATGTGGGAAAGCCTTTGTTCAACCCAGTAACTTTCAAAAGCATAAAAGAACATACGCTGGAAAGGATCTCTGAGCAACAAGTATGGGAAGTGTTCATTATCACATGACTGACTTTCCAGGACCCAGGAGAATGTCAAATGCAGAGAACTTGTATTAATATAAGTTGTGTGGAACAGCTCTAGTTATCTTGATTCAATTCATAGAACATACTATAGTGAGAAACCTTGAATAGAAGAAATATGCAAAGTGTTCATTGGAGCCATGTTTAAGAATGTGTTCCACATCATGTGGATGTGCAAAAATATTTTTAAAAGCTGTCAGTTGTCACAAGTAATGTCAAAGTCCAATGAGAATTTTTAGGAAAGAATAAGCCTATTAATATACCAGGAAGAACTTGAAGCAAATAATTGGTGTGACATCTTCTATAAAAATTCTTATCCTGAAGGAAATATTCAAAAGTGAGAAATAATTTAATTCGTGTTTATCGGGGGAAGAAACCTAAAGACCACCATATGTATATTAATGAATGAAATGTTTAATGAAGAAAGGTGGTCTTGGTATCAGTACTGAAGAAATTTCTGTAATAATGGATGGAAAACCCAAGCTAGTGTCATACCTAGAAAGTTGTGGTTAATGTTGGAGATCTATTGACAATGATGATCTTATAGCAGTCTGAAAGGATGTGAGAGCAGAAGCATCCACTTGAGAATGAAGCAGGGGCAGCTCATAATACAAACTTGTATTTAGAACTGAAATGGTAAAGCAGACAAGAAGATGGGAGCAGCAGCTTAACCGGGAGCAAGATCACTGAATGGTTAGTTGGGTTTTGTTATTAGCTTTAGGATGTGGAAATAAAGCTTGTAGGCAGACTTCCCTAAGTGGCAAGTGGAAAGGCAAAATCCTCAAAGTAAACATGAGAAGTTGTAATTAAGAACACAACCTTAGAACTGATTCAGCAAAATAGAGACATCTCTTAAAGACAAGAAGAAAAGACTGGCAAGACGACTCAGTAGGTAAAGGCATCTGCTGTCAAGGCTGGCAACTTGAGTTCAGTTCCCAGGACCTGCGTAGTGGCAGGGAAGAACTGACTCCTGTAGGTCATCCTCTGACCTCTACACACATGCCATAGCACACATGGATTGTGGCACACATTGCCACAAACATGCACCAAAAGAAATAGAATTAAAATAAAGCAAATGTCTTAAAACTTGATATTTAAAGCCAGATATGGTTTTGAAATGGTAAAATTATAAGCAATTTTTTATTTTCATTTTTTAAATTTTGTATATATGTGTGTGTGTGTGTGTGTGTGTGTGTGTGTGTATGTGCTATATGTGTATGGTATATGCTCATGTATGTGTTTAGGTAGCTGAGGATGTTGAGCGTTCTGGCCTATCACTCCCTAATCCTTTGAGACCTGGTCTCTTACTAAACCTAGAGTTAAGCCGATGGCCAATAAGCCCCAGCAGCCTTACTGACTCTACCTCCAAGCCCTGGAGTCACAAGCAGGTGTGTAGCCATGTCATGCTTTTTTGTATTTGTGTTTGGTTTTGTTGTTAAGATTTGTTTGTTTTTGTTGTTGTTGAGACACAGTGCCACTATTTCCCCCTGACTGGACTGGTACTGTCTGTACAGACCAGACTAGCAGAGAACTCACAGAGATATGCTTGCCTCTGACTCCTGAGTGCTTAAATGAAAGGCATGTGCCACCATGCCCAAGCCATGCCAAGCATTTTACCTTCTTGTTAAAGATTCAAACTCAAGTTCTCATGCTTGTTTGTTTGTTTTGTTTTGTTTTTTGAGACAGGGTTTCTCTGTGTAGTTTTGGTGCCTGTCCTGATCTTGCTCTGTAGCCCAGGTTGGCCTCAAACTCCCAGAGATCTGCCTGGCTCTGACTCACAAGTGCTGGGATTAAAAGTGTGCGCCACCACTGCCCGATGTTCTCATGCTTGTAGAGCAAGTGCTCTTTCTTACCTGGTGAGCGATCTCTCCAGCCCTCTTTGTATTTGTAGTGCCTTTTTAAACTTTCACAGCGAGTATAGAGCATACCCCCAGACAACCCATCTCAGGAACGGACAGGGCCTTATGTATGACCCAGAGACCAAACTCAGAAAGTTAAAACAAACTGACAGACACCTTAGAACTATGTCATAGTTAAAGAGAATCTAGTTGGTTTCAAAAGTCAAGATGTCAGGGAGTTATATGTGAGATCACTGAGAAAAAACAGCTTCACCTTACTGTGGTGGTTATTTAATCCCATGGCTACAAACTGTGAGGCAGGCACCTGTGCAACCAGCAAAAGGGGTAGTGTGCCTCATAAGGCCTACAGCAGGATGGAAGTTTGTAAGTCATGCTGTTCGCTGCCCTAAAATACCCCGAATTCACAATCATTTACTTCTCTCCTCTTCTTTACTGCTGATGTGATGTAATTCTTATCCCTTGAAAGAGTTCAAGCAGTACATTGTCACACAGAGTGAAAATGTAAAGGATTTGTTACCATGTTATTTGACTTTAAAGAAAGTTACTACTTACTGGCTGGTACTTGGTGTTTTGTTGTTGTTGTTGTTGTTTGTTTGTTTATTTTTAGAATTTAAGATGTGTTTCCAAAATCTGTGGGTTTATTTCAAGGCCAAAAGACTATGGAGCCCTCGGGGGAAAAACTGGAGTACTGTAAATTAAATGTTATTGGATATAACCATGCCCATTTTTTTCATCTTAGTTATGGCTTTCTTCAAGGCTATGATATCATGCTATAATATCTTGAGCTAGATAGTTGAGACATAGAACGTAATAATCTGCAAAGATATACTGTCTGACCCTTTGTCGAAAACTTTGCCCATCCCTCTACTGTACAAGTTGTAAATGCCATGTGTTCTTTAAAAAGTTTTTGATCACCAGGAGGTGGTGGCGCACGCCTTTAATCCCAGCACTCGGGAGGCAGAGCCAGGCGGATCTCTGTGAGTTTGAGGCCAGCCTGGTCTACAGAGCGAGATCCAGGAAAGGCACCAAAACTACATGGAGAAACCCTGTCTCGAAAAAAAAAAAAGTTTTTATATTGTTTTTATTCTCAAAAATAGTTTTTATATTGTTTTTGTTCTCAAATGATCCTTATGTGAAATAATTGTCCCTGTTGTGGCTTTAGGCTACCAGCAGGTTAGCTCGTCATACAAGATTAAGATGGCTGAAGTCGGAGGATTGGCCAAAGCAATGGTCCAGTCCGTGCTCCTACTTGAAAACCAGCTTGTTGAGAAACTTTGGGTTCTTAAAGTTCTGCAGCACCTCTCGACTTCTGGTGTGTATAGTAGTACTGCTGAATTTCAACATTTTATTGTTCACTACTTTTCTTTCTCTCTAACAGACTGGTTTGTTAAATTTACTTTTCAGAAGTCAATTGCACTTTAATGGTGAAAGGTCAAGCAGCCAGCAGAATCTGTGCTCGCCTCAATGACCCAGATCCCTCAGGACAGCTTCTGTTTCGCTCATCAGAAATACTTTGGAATTTATTGGAAAGATCTTCAAAAGAGGAAATTATACAACAGCTTAGTAACTTGGAATGCCTGCTGTAAGTGTATGTGGGTAGCTAGGAATGTCATTTGCCTTAAACTGTGGCCAGTGATAGATAACTAACAACTTTGAATCTGTGTTCAATTGAATTTTTGATTCAGCTGATGGCTGGGCTTCATGCCATTAGAAATAAAAGAAGTTACGCTTTTTGTCCTTTTGTGAGTTCTGAGATAGGTCTCATGTAGCCTGGAACTTGCAATGTAGTTGAGTAAGGACAGTCTCTTTCCTCTTCTTCCCCAGTACTGGAATTACCAGAGAAGCCATGCTTGTCTAAGTAGGATGCTCTAAAAGTATCATACTACATAGTTAAATTGTGCCTTTACAGATGGATAAAGTAAAATAAGACTTTTATAACTATTTATTCATTAGATTTCTGATTAGTACTTACTACTTTTCCAGTTCTGTAATTGTCAATAAAATGTAAGTTTTCAAGTTGCTTACTCAATTGTTCAATAAATAATTATTGTCTATTGTGCTATGGTCAGTCTGAGATCATAAAAATGTAACTAAAAGCTTGGTGTGCTAACAACACACTTTAATCCCAGGACTTGGGAGGCAGAGGAACACAGAGCTCTGTGAGTTCAAGAGTGAGCTCCAGGATCAACAGAGCTACATAGTGAGACCCTATTTCAAAAACTAAAATAAAATAGAAGAGTTGAAGAGATGTCTCAGCAGTTAAGTTTTTGCAGAGGATGTGGGTTGATTCCTAGCACCCACATGGCAGCTCCTAACCACTCATAACTCCAGTTCTAGGGGATCCAATGCCCTCTTGTGACCTCCATGGGTACCACACATGCATGTGGGGCATAGACATACCTGAGAGCAAAACACTCATATATATAACAAATCGAAAATAATTTTACTTTTCTATTTATTTGTTTTTACATCCCAACCACTAAAATAAAATTTTAATCAAAAACTAAACAATAACATTTCATGGACCTTCTCTTATATTTACAAAGAAAAACAAGTACATAAGCAATTAAAAGAAGGTATAATAAGTGTAATGACAGAGATTTTTACAAGGTATTGCATCTTTTTTCAAAGTAACATAGATGAACATGTTTTTGCTTTCAAGTGACCCCCAAACCCAACCCTACTGTCTTAGTTAGCTTTCACTGTTAACTTGGCTCAGTCAGTAATTACTGAGAAGGGAGTCCCCATTGAGGGATTGGTCAGGTCAGATTGGCCTGTATGTCTGTGGATGATTGTCTTTACTGTAACTGATCTAAGATGGCCCCGCCCACTGAGGGGAGCACCATTCCTTGAACAGTGGTTCCAGACTATACAAGACAGCTAGTTAAGCATGAGCCTATGAGTGAGCCCAACAGCACTGTTCCTCCATGTTTTCTTTTTTTATCATCAGGTTTCTGCTTGAGTTCTTGCCTTGACTTCCCCTCTGATGAACTGTGACCTGAAGTATAAGCCAAACAGATCATTCCTTCTCTAAGTTGCTTTTGGTTAGTGATTTTTTTGTTTTGTTTTGTTTTTGAGGCAGCATTTCTCTGTGTAGCTTTGGAGCCTTTTCTGGAACTCACTCTGTAGCCCAGGCTGGCCTCGAAATCACTGAGATCCGCCTGCCTCTGCCTCCCGAGTGCTGGGACTGAAGGCGTGCACACTACCATAGCCTGGCTTGGTCAGTGTTTTATCACAACAGAAAAGAAACTGGAACTCCAACTGATGAGAGTGCAACTAAAAAAAAAAAACAAAGGAAAAGCTGATTTCATGAGCCTCTTGATTGAAACTTCAGAAAACGTGGAGGCTTGGCACCTCTCTGTCTGTATCCTGATGGAACAGTGATTCTCAACCTGTGGGTCGCAACCCTAAAACAACCTTTTCACAGGGTTTGCATGTCTGATATTTACATTATGATTCATAACAGTAGCAAAATTACAGTTATTAAGTAGCAGTGAAAATAATGTTATGGTTGGGGGTCACCACCACATGAGGAACTATGTATTAAAGGGCCTCAGCAGTGGGAAGGTTGAGAGCTGCTGCTGTAGAACCACAGGCTGGAGAGAGCAAATGCCTAAATAAAGAAATAAAGGTAGCGTTACCACAAAGAAAACTGCAGATGGGCTCCAAGAGGCACAAACAATGACTCTACTACAGAAGGAACCTGACCTGGAGTGGAGGAGGTGGTTTATGCTTCCTCATACTTCTTAACCTCAGCAGTGTCGCAGTGATTAGGAATCAGTCACACAGAACAGCCTTTTGCAGAGAGCATCCTACACAGGGAAAGAGAAGTAAAAATCAGATTCAGAAAAAAACAAAAAATAAAAACCTGGAAGAAGTTTAGTACAAGGAAGGCAGAAGAGTAAGGCAGGCTGTGAAGAGCCGAGGCTGCAGGGGAGCAAGAACCATGATGGCAGGGCCCTGGGGAGCTGGCTACGGAGGGCTTTAACATGCCATGATTAAGTCTTCTAACAGTCACATCGGCAACTGTGGGTACTTAGATTAGTGAGTTCTTATCTGGTGCATTGCCGTGAATTAGAAGCAGGTTTGGAGGGATCAAAAGATGAGAAACACTGGGTCAATAGTCTAAAATTCAGAGCAGGATTTTGTTGATGGAGAAATAAGTATTCCATAGAAATGTGTCTCAGTTCAGCCTTCCTTAACAAAGTACCAGAGAGCTGTAGTTGAGAAACAATGGTAACTTTTTTCTCACAGTGTTAGAGGTTAGAAATCAGCTCAGGGTGCCAGCATGGCAGGGTTCTGGTACACATGCTCTTCTAGATATCAGGACTCTGACATCTCATCTCACAGGGAATGAGATCCGCAGTAGAGCTCTCTGGGGTTCCTGTTGTGAGGACAGTGATTCCTTTATGATGGCTCTACCTTTGTGTCTAAATGTCTTCCCAAAACTTCTTACAAGGGAGGATTTCAACAAATGAATTTTGAAGAAGCACAAACATTTTGCCTATAACAATATCATTTTTAATATTTTGTTTTCTAGGGCCTTGAAGGAAATATTTAAAAATCTGTTTATGAGGGGCCATAGTCATTATGACCGTCAGCTTAGAAATGATATATTAGTTATCACCACAATTATAGCTCAGAACCCTGGAGCACCAATGATTGTAAGTATGCATCAGATGGCGTTAATTTTAACGGTGAAAGTGGCAGGGGTATTCTAAACTATGTTATAGTATTTGTGTGTTTTATTTCAGTGCTAAGTTGTATCTGGATGTCAAGAGAGTCACCACTGCACTTCCACTCTGCCACTCTGTGGCATTCCTGTGGAGCTCTGGCATCCTCTTCATGTTTCATCACTTACAGATTCATTGTTTCTGGTGTTTTTCCTTTTTTTTTCCTGTCCATCTAACTTCATTTCTTTTCCAATAAAAGAACTTTGTTCATCATTTCATGTGGTACAAATGTGGTACCTGCTCTCAACAAAATCTCTTTTATCTCAAAATATCACCTTAATTACTGAATTTTATGTTCATTGAATATAGAACCCTAGGTTGAAAAAAATTCTCTACTAGCACTTTGAAGATAGTGTCCCACTGTCTTCTGCTCTCTGCTGTTCCTGGTAAGTATTTGTTATTTCAGATTCTTGCTCCCTGATATGAAAAGTGTCCTTGAAATTCTGTTTTCAAGATTTTCCCCTTTATCATTGGTGTTCATCAGTTTTAGTACAGTGGGCCAAGGCGTAATCCCTTTTGTGTTTCTCCTTTATAGTGTTTCTTACGTATGTAATTTATTTTCACTAACTTTGAACAAATTAGGACCATTATTTTCATCATTGGTCTTCAGTGTATTCCCTCTCCTGTTTTCTTCTAGCATTCTGATTACTTGTACATTTGATAATTTTTTACATTGTCTCATGTGGTTATAGGCTTCTGGTGACTGTTTTCTCTCCAGTCCTCAGATTGGATGATTGGATTGATCTACATATTTAAATTAACTGACTTTCCCTGTCACATCCATCATGCTGTTCATCCTTTCTGTGTGTTTTTATTTCAGATATTAGAATTTCTTTTTTTCCCCCAGTTCTGGAGATCAAGCCCAGGGCTTTCTTCATAACAGACAAGGGTTCTACCACTGAGCTATACCCTAGTCCTCTTTGATCCCTTTTTATAGTTTCTCCTTTTATGCAGAGTTGCTGTGTTCCCATTCATTATGAGAATCTTTACTGTGGGTTCTACCATAGACCTCTGAAAAGTACTTTTTCATTTGTGTTATTAGTAGACATTGGACTTGTCTACATTCATCCAACTATGTGGTCCAACTATGATGCCTCCAACTGGGATCCATCAAATCCCAGTTTGGCTCTTCTAGCCATAACTGTGATGTGTAGAATTCTCTGTATTTAGACAGGTCAGGCAGTCGTCAGAGTCTGGGGAAGCGTTTGTGTGCATATCTGAGTTCCCCTTCTGGCTTTCTCCTTTATGAGACTGTACTTTTCATTCTAGTGGCTGTGGTTGTCTCGGTCTTCTGATTCATTGGCCCACTTAGACAACAGGTTTACCTTTGAGTTTAGCATCCCCACAAGGTGTAGAACAGGGATTGCTGCCAGCTTTAAAGCCAGGAATAAAGGAGTTGGTATGACAATTTACATAGTCAATTCTTCTTTAGTCTTTATCAGAGTTCTAACTTTCTTTCAATGTCTACTTTCTCTTGGCCATAAGATTGCTGCTTTTTATATTTTGCTCAAAGAAGATTTCTTTTATCATAACTACCTAGCCATATGAGAAGCTAATCCTCCCTGTATTTAAAAAAACTTATTTTAATATTTTTAATTATGTGTATGTGTGTCTGTCTGAGTGTGGGTCTTTGTCTGTGAGTGTAAATGCCCATAGAGGCAGTAGAGAGTGTTGGGACACTTGGAGTTGGAGTAACAGGAGGTTGTGAGCCACCTAAAGGGGTTCTGGAAACTGAAATTGGGTTGTCTGTAACAGAAGTACACGCTCTTAACTCCTCAAACATCTTTCCATCCCCTCCCTGTATTTTATAGTGAAAAAATCATTGAATGTTTGAGATCTTGGAATAATACTTACAATAATATTCACGCATCGGCCATATTAATTTCTACGTTGGGTTTCAAAGGACTAGCTATAAAGGTCCCAATACCTGTCAGTGTACATCAAGTGTCCCAACATTTAAAAAGTCATGGAATTCATGGTGTGAAAATACATAAACCATCCAACAGAGCACCTCGTTAAGTCTACCATATGTAGGCAGATCTCATGTCTGTCTGTCTGTCAGTGAGTTCTCACTTCTGCTACTGTTAACATTCTGGTGATTCCATGAACAGAAATCAAAGTAATAACATTCTTATATTTTTAAAGAAGCCATGTGAATTCTGAAGAAGTAGAAAAATCATACCATAAATGCAAAGCCCATCATTATTTCCCCCTATAAATTTTCCTTACTATATAAAGTTCAATCACATGCCTTTGTCAGGAGGGAGTTCCCTGTGCTGAGGTATTTGCAGCTCTGATAATTCCTCAGGGCTTTTTGTGTTAAGAAGCACTGTTTTGTTCTCTCCTGACTGTCCTTTGATGTAATGAGAGTGACTGGGATAAAGGCAAGATCGAAAAGAATAGCCATTGAGAAGAATTGGACTTTCCTCCTTTGGGGTATCATTTAAAGGTGTAGACAGTGAATCCCAGAAGTAACCAGGCAGGCTCTATGTGCTGACTCTTCTCACTCACTTTCAAGTATCACATCACATCTATGTTCACAGACTAATATGAAACTTCTTAGAAGCTGCAGAAGCAAGTTTAAATTCAGTAAATTAGAATTACCTAGCCATGTGATGTTGCTTTTTCACTTTTATTCATTAGTATTAGCATTATATATTCAAATGAATTACAGTAGGGAAACTATATAGTAGCAATTGAATAGGAGGCAAATATGGGCACCTGTATCTTAATTGCCAGTCTGATTGTTCACCTTTCTGCTTTCTTATTTTGTGTGTTTGTGATAGGAATGTGGCTTTACCAGAGATCTGATACTGTTTGCAACTTTTAATGAAGGTAAAAATTGCACCACCTTAAGCATTTTGTAAGTGTCTTGATGAGTCTTACGTATAATTTTAGCTTTTATTTCTCTCTCTTTTTTTCCTCTTACAGTTAAAAGTCAAAATCCTTTGGTAAAAAATCTTAAGCTTTCTAATTCCTATGAAGATTTTGAGTTGAAGAAATTGCTATTCAATATAATTGTGATCTTATGTAAAGATTTAACTACTGTGCAGGTAAAGACTAATCAAAACAGAAAAATTAATAAAAGCATCTCACTTTATAGCATAGTTTTTTAAAGTCACGATTGCAAATCTTTCATTAACTAACCCTTATCTATATCATAGAAAGTAGCGAAGTTATCAGCTTGGATTATAGTCATTTGAATTGCAAACAATAAACACAAAAGACCTAACTTTGAAACACACACACACACACACACACACATACACACACAAAATAGTCGGAGCAAAGAGATCTATCAATATATGCAGATCTCCTAACTAAGAACACAAAACAAAAGTAGCTCACACATCCCAGACTATCCCATCTATTTTTCAGTTGCTCATGCAAGGAAAACACTCTTCCATTAAATCGCAGATGCAGCCCCCACATCCAGCAGATTGCGTTCCTGACTGTCAAGCTAAGGGATGATTAATGTTGAAGGTCATTGCTGACTCTGTTAGGCCGTCTCAGACGCTTGTGAACCCATGTTTTCTCCACTCAAGCCTAACATCTTTAATTTTTATTTCCTCATTTATCTTGCTGTGTTCATTATTTCACATATGTGATGTAATTTGAGGAACACTGGGATTAAATGGCTTCTCACCTTTTGTGTGACCTTGGCCAATTCCCCTTCCCTATCTGGGACTTAGTCCTACTTTATGAAGCTCAGAACACTTGCACACAGGGCTCGTAAGAGCTTGAGGTAAAGCCTTGGTCAACTGTAAAGTGTTTGAGAAATGTATTACTGTTTTGTTAGTTCAGCTCCTTGCTGCATTAAGTGACATTTCCTTCTAACCTGAAATTCTCTGAAGCTCTTTTCATGAATGAAGTGAGTGTTCACTTTATCAAGATAAGGATTGATGATGTAACAGTGGGGTGAGGTGGTGAGTGGGTACCATCCCAGTAAGATCACTTTCTAGGAGTATGCTTTTGAGTGGAATAATTAGTTTCTCTAAATCCCAGGTAGTTCATCTTTAGCAGAGGGGCAACACCCACCTTGAGGATAATTCTGAGACTTCATTATTATAATTGTTGTTGATGTTAGACTATAAGAATTTAAATGGGCTTGGCATTTTCTTGAGAATATCGATATATATTATATATAGCAAAATCAGAGAAAGATATATTACATTTAAGTTATAATTTTATAATTTGTATCAAATATATAATGTATACAGCTTATATATTTTTTCTGAAATGCTTACCAGAAAAATACTTCCATAAAATATGTTTTATTATTATTATTATTACAGTGGAGAATGATCTAAGTGTTATAAGTATAAAGTCAACAATTGAATTTTATTCTACATTTTGTCAGTTTCTACTGGTGTAGTATTTTATAGACAACAGAGTCAAATAGCACAAAGGTTGTCATAAGGTTTTTAAAATACATTGTGAACAACAATGGAGTTAATTTTTGAGGTTACATATCTTTGGCCCAACAATAGTAGGACTAATCAATATGTATACTATCATAATTCATAATCACTGGATCTCCACAGTGATGCTAGCACTAATGTTCTTGTTCATATTTACTCAACTCCAAATCTTGATCTCTTTGAATATACACCATGAAGTTCCACACTAAGTGAATTCAGTAGAGAAGCTGAAAAACCTCGTAATTGTTAGGAAACCCTCTTTATAGAGTAATGCTAAGCAAGTAGGAGGCAGTATCACATAGGACAGTGTTTCACACTCTTGTGAACTGAAATAAGCATCAGCTAGTATCAGCTGTGTTAACCATTGGCTATTTTATAGTTATTCAGTTTTTACTTTTTTTTTGAAATGCTAGGTTCAATAAAGTTATAAAATCTTAAAGAGTCTAATTAAATACAGCATGTGACCTGACTGACAGTCTTTAATACAGTGTATAAATTCTATCAGTTGTACTTAAGAAACAGTTTGTGTTGCCCTGTTATTGCCTTTATGCTCCTTTGAGGGCTAGAGGTGCAGCTTAGCAGTAGGCTGTTTGACAAGTAGGCACAAGGCCCTGGGTCTGATCGCTAGCACTGTAACAGAAGGAAAATGAAGAATGAGGGAAGAAATGCCACTCATTTGTTTGCCTCCCATTTCCTACTTACGGTTTTATTGCATGTAGAAACAAATTAATGTGCGTTTTCCATTGTCACCTCTGGAGCTTGCGCCCAGGAAAGGGGGTCAGTGCTCTTCCTGTCGCCAGGCTGCTGTTGATGGGGGTGGTGTGTTATCTGTTTTATTTCCATGTGTTTGGGGTACTGTCACAGATAAAGGAAATATTTTGATACTATCACTAAAACATCAAATTTTGCTAGATTAAATAAAGATATTTTAATTATGCTGCTAACAAAGTCCATTTTGCCCTTTCTTACAGCTATTAATCGATGGTAATGTTATTTTGGCTTTGTTTACCTACGTCAAAAAACCTGAGAAACTCAAGATTGTCGAGTGGTCTGCCGCACAGTATGAAGAACTGCAACTGCATGCGATTGCCACCTTGTCTTCAGTGGCTCCGTTGCTAATAGAGGAGTATATGTCATGCCAGGGCAACGCTCGGATCCTTGCCTTTCTGGAATGGTGTGAGCACAAGGGTGAGTACCCTGCAGGGCTCTGTCAAGATTCGAATCTGTATGTCAGCTGAACTCTCAGCATCTGCACAGAAAAGCAATTGCTAAATTGAAGAAAAGACAAATATTGAATTCATTCTTTTAGTGTTTTTATATGTCTTCATAAACATTGAGGTTTTAGGGATAGAGAGCTGGCCCAGCAGTTCATATCACAGACTGTTCTTACAGAAGACCTGAGTTTAGCTCCAAACACCTACGCCAGGGAGCTCACAAATACCTTTAACTCCAGCTCCAGGGGATTCAATGGCCTCTACAGACACCTGCATTCATGTGCACATGCCCCCACAGAGGCACACACACTTACACATAATTAAAGATAGAACAAGTCTTTTAAAAACATTGAGATTTCAATATAATTAATAAACATTTTAAAGTAATTATACATATGATTTTATTTAAATTATTGTATTATGAGGCCTATAAAAATTATACTTGGGGAGGAAATAAAACAATCTTGACAATAGTTTAATATATTCATTCAATAAATATTGATTGAGTGTCTACGAAGTACCAGATACTACTTCAGCTCCTGAAAATACATTTTGGCTTCAATTGGACACAAATCCTTAAATAACTTCATAAGATTTAAAAATCTAGATTTTTTTTTTTAGCCAGAAGCACTATCTCCAAGTACAGCTTATCAAGGAGAAGAGTCTTAATTTATAAATGTTATTTTATTGAATTCTTAAAAAGAAAATAAATAGACTCATGAACATAAGAATTTGATAAGGAAGAATATTGTAAAAGACACAGTGATACCTTTGGGTAAAATTTGAAAAGGCATATTTCCATTCTGAGACTAGAAAGAGAAGGGGAAGGGATAATATTTCTGTAGGGAAAGAACAAGCAAACATGACTGAATTTTAACATCTGTTTAAATGTATAGATATTTAAAATACCTGATGTGTTGTTTTTTTTTTTAAACAAGAACATTTAGTTGAACTGTTTTATGCTTTAATTTCTTAGTTATAAATTCAATTATTTATTTCCCCCACAGATTCCTTCTTCATTCACGGTAACAGTTTCCATGGCACAGGTGGCCGTGGGAACAAGTTTGCACAGATGCGTTATACTTTACGACTCCTCAGAGCCATGGTTTATCTGGAAGACGAGACTGTGAACAAGGATCTTTGTGAAAGGGGGATTATTCACCAACTGATAGGTAAAATACTGCATGGCAGCTCACTGGTGAAAGGAGGGTGTTTATAATCCTGGAAGTTTCCAATGAAATATTTTTCTACAAATTGATTTTATAAATGAGCATATCCTGAATGTTTTCCTGGTTTTTGTTTCATCTTATTGATGCCAATCAGCTCTCTTTTTATTGAAATATTGTAATCAGTAATCCTTTAAATATTTATTTCCGCCGGGCGGTGGTGGTGCACGCCTTTAATCCCAGCACTCGGGAGGCAGAGCCAGGCGGATCTCTGTGAGTTCGAGGCCAGCCTGGGCTACCAAGTGAGTTCCAGGAAAGGCGCAAAGCTACACAGAGAAACCCTGTCTCGAAAAACCAAAACAAAAAAAAAAATATTTATTTCCTCAGTTTAGAGATTATTTCATTAAAAATTTCTTTTTCACTGAGATGAACTGTTGTTAGGTTTCATTTTTCTGTTGATGAGCTTGCCACTTCAAAGAAGATGAAGTTACATTTTCCAGTCCATTCAGAACACTGGCATGTTGGTACATAGGGACTAGTATTTTTTCTAACATAAATACTAAAGAATTTATGAACTTCAACTTCCAGTTCAAGCTGCTTTGCCCTTTATTATTTGAAAATACATAGTCACCCAGCCCTTCCCTTTCCTGGTTTTGCTTCTCAGGCTGTCTCAGGCATTGCTTCATGTAAATGTCATATAGTTAGTTTTCTGTAGCCTAGCTTTCTGAATCCACATACTCAACCAACCATAGGCCAAAATTACAAAAAAGAAAAAATAAGTGTGTCTTTGAACACAGAAAGACTTTTCTTGTTGTTTATAACAAATATTAGCATTTCCACTGTATTAGGAATTATAAGTGATTGGAGGTGGTTTAAAGTATACAAGAATAAACCACATCATGTGCAGATGCTATACCAGTTTGTGTTAGGGAACTAGGCTTCCCTGGCTTTCGGTGTCTCAGGAGCATTTGCACTCTGATCTTGTCAGCTGTCTGTCACTGTGACAGACACCTGGAAGAAACCATTTGACTCACAGTTTCACAGGTCTCCATCTGTGGTAATTTGGCTTAATGTTTTGGAGCCTGTGGTAAAACACTATGTCTTGGTGGCTTAGAAGTCAAAGAGAAACAGGAAGGGACCAGGTTCCCATCATCCTCTCTTCCAGAAGGCCCTGTCACCTAAACCTTACACCACTTCCCAACACATGGGCCTTTGAGGAACATTCAAGATTTCAAGTGAAGCTCTGCTAGATGTCAGCTAATTGCAATATGCTTAAAAAAAAACACTTATTAAAATACTTTTCATTCATTATTAGAAGAAGGATAGTGCCCTCCAATTATAATACTCATGAGAAAAAAACAAACATATATTAGACAGGGCCTCACTACACATACAAGCCTGGCCTTACACTCATAGCGATCCACTTGAATTCTGGGATTAAACCATGCCCAATTTAAAAACAAATCAATTGAAAGCAGAGTTATGTAAAAACATTTATCTTTATTCCAAATGGGCTTAAGATGACTCAACATGAAAGTACATTTTAATCACAACTATGTGCATTCCATTGCACAAAATTCAGTCCAAATGCCCCATTTTAGCTGGAAATGCAATCGTTGCATATCCAGGGAGAAATCTTAATCCTGTCTGAGCTGAGGGAATGTGTTAGGGGAAGCATAGCAAGCAGCAAGAGTTCTCTCAGGACATTTTTCTTTCCATTCAAAGCTGATCTTCATTACAGAATTTCTAGGGACCTTGTCTTTATTTAACTTAGCAGGGCTTTGTAGAAGTTCCATCCTCAAAAAGTATAGAAAATGCATTGCAAATATAGTGTCTGTGTAAATATGCTTTCTCCTTAGACAGAGAGATTAAAACTGTATCAATCAGAATGCGAGGGAACCTTGCCCTGATGAGAACAAAGGAAAATAGTGTGTCTTATTTTGTACCCTCACCTGGGCACCTAATGAGTAGCAAAAAAGAGTAAATATTCCGAAAGCTAAAGAGGCTTAGGTATTTTCAAACTTGGGTGGTCTCAGCTGGGGCTTCAGTGGGTGATAGTTTTAAGAAAGGGGAAAAAGATCCTTCTCTAAAGCCAAGAGGTGTCGTGAGCAGAGGTATAGTATTGAAATATGCAGGATAATGTGTTCAGAGAGGGCAGAAAGGGAGTCCAAGTTCTATAAAGACAAATGTGATAGAGTTCATTGCATAAGCAGTGACCAAGTTGGAAAAAGCAGAGTGGTAAGTAGCAGTTTGAATTCCATCCTTCACGGGGGCAGAAGGGTTCTGTTTAGTAAGTCTGTATGTGCAGTAATGTGGGCTTTTAAATTTTAATATAATTAAATTTTGTAGGTATGTGTATGTATGAATGCATGGTGTGTGTATGCATGCATGTGTGTGTATGTGTGCACCCGTGCACACGTTCATGCGTGCATGCGTGCGTGCGTGTGTGTGTGTGTGTGTGTATGTGTGTGTGTGTGTGTGTGTATGACTATGCCACAATGCACATGTGGAAGTCACGGGACATCTCTGTGGAGTTACTTCTGTCCTTCCATCACTTTGTATAGGTTTCTGGGATCCAACACAAGTTACCAGGCTCTGTACATGGGGTGCCCCCGCACTGCAGACCCTCTGTACATGGGGTGCCCCTGCACTGCAGACCCTCTGTACATGGGGTGCCCCCGCACTGCAGACCCTCTGTACATGGGGTGCTCCCTCACTGCAGACCCTCTGTACATGGGGTGCCCTGCACTGCAGACCCTCTGTACATGGGGTGCCCCCTCACTACAGACCCCTTTGAGCATGGGGTGCCCCCTCACTACAGACATGGGGTGCCCTGCACTGACTCTCTAGCAGGTTCAGCTGTGCTCCTTGGAGCCCACCCTTCATCCTAAAAGGATAGATCCATAGGACCAGCAGCAACAAGAGGCTGTTGACTTCTTTGGAAACTATAGCCCCGTAGTTTCCTGCCAATAACCATGTCCTCTTTACCAGTGGAAAAGAGACTTCCTAAATCCTTAAAGCTTAAAGGAAATCCTTTTTTGAGACAGTTTTATTGTGAATGTCATTTGATCAGTGATAATGACTGTTGAGTCATTTTCAGGCTTGATTACGAGGGGAGGATTTTTAAAGCACATAATCTGGCAGCCTAAAGTTGGGGAGTTGTTCTTTTCACGTAGACTTGAAGAGAAGATACAGAAAGAAACAGCAGATGGAACACACACTTAGAGCAGCCTCCCAAATTTGCTACAAAGAAAAGGAGAAATGGAACAGCTTACAGTCAGACATTTTTGTTTTGTTTTCAAGAAAGGGTTTCACTCTATGACCTTTCACTGTATATGGCTGGCCTGGAACTCGCTCTGTAGACCAGGCTGGCCTCGAACTCAAAGAGATCCACCTTCCTCTGCCTCTCAAGTGCTGGTATTAAAGACATGCACTACCACCACCCAGCTACAGTTAAACATTTTGATAAGAAATTTGCAGAAGTATATATCCCTGCCTCATGAAGCTACATGTTTTTTAACTTTCTTTTTATTTATTCTCTGTGTCTTTTATATCATGCATCTCGATCCCATTCATTTCCCCAACCCTTCATATCCGCCCTCTGCCCTTGCAACCCCCCTAAAATAAAATTTGAGAGGAAAAAAAGAAAAGAAAAAGAAAAAGGGATAAAGGGAAAATCTCGTCATAGAAGCTGTAGTGTGACACAGTTAGCCAGGCAGTAAACCCTTTAGTCCATATATCTTTACTTGTGAGTGTTCGTTGCAAAGAGTCCATGATCTGGTTAGAGACCTCTGGTTTCTGCTACACTATCAATGCTGGGCCCTCACTGGGACTTCTCTTGGATATCCTATTGTTGCCCTGTGTCATGGAAATCCTGCTGTTTTGGGTCTGCAGGACCAGCCTCTCCATGTGCTCCAGCAGATCACAGATGGAGTGGATATTGGGGTGAGCCAACTCATGACCCTGGTTCTGGGCCTAGATAGTTCAGCCTGCCAGTTCTCCCTTATGCTCACCACCAGGGTGAGCTCTCCAGCATTGCCCTGACTAGTCCACCCCTAGCAGCAATGAGCAAGGGGCGGGGCCAGTTCTTCTGCTTTGATGTCCTCAGTGGTGGCATGGCACTCCCACACCTGCACCATCAGGGCCAGCTCTACTGTGTTGCCCAGGCAAGGTGCAGGGGCCACTCTCCTGAGTTCTGCAGCTTGTGAGGGGCAGGGCCAGCTCCCCCACCCCTCATAGGAAGCGAGGGGCAAGGAGGGAGGGCATCTCTCCTCTACTCACACCACCATATGGCAGATGAGGGGCCGGGCCAGATCTCCCACGCTCACGTCCTTGGGGCCAGTTCACCCGAACACCTGTTGATAGGGTCAGTTCTGCTGTGCCGCCTAGGCGAGGTGCAGGGCCTGCTCTCCAAAGTGCTGCAGCTGGTGAGGGGCAGGGGCAGCTCTCTCACTTTTATGACCTCAGGGCCAGCTCTCCCACCCACCTCAGGAGTGAGGGGTGCATCTCTTCCTCAACCATGCTGCCATATGGCAGATGAGGGGTGGAACCAGATCTCTCAGGCTCAAGTTCTCAGGTAGGCCCACTCATGCCCCAGGAAACAGCATTTGGTTGAGTCCTGCCCGCCCCAGCTGCATGGCATGGGGCGGGGAGTGTTGCTTGAAACTACATGTTTTTAAACAAAATTTATTCGTCAAAATAAGAAGTTGTTAGGTCATAATTTAGTGACAATCCACTAATTTGTGCTAACATTTCTTCATGTATAACACTGATAATTATATTGAGATATTCTATATCCATGGAGCTGTATATGTATATATGTAGAAATTCTTTGTGAGACAGCTGACTTAAGGGCTTAGGAAATCCATTTACCACTCTCTGTCCACAACTTCTAGGTTACTATGCAATGAAAACAGCCTCTTCTATAATAGAGTATTTTCTCTAGCTGAAGATGCTTCTTAAAGCGGGGGGGGGGGGGGGGGGGGGGGGGGGGGCGGGTTCCTAGCTATAAATAATAAAAAATGAATCTAATAATAACATTCTTCAATTTTTCTCATGCCAGGAATCTTTAAAAATATGGCAAGCAAGCCTGATGAAAAGGAAGAGGCCATTGCCTTGGAGATCCAGTCTGACACGTTGCTCATCTTGTCAGGGCTCTGTGAGCATTATATTGAAAGGAAGGTGTGTGATTCCTGTGAACCCACATTTCAGGTCTCGCAGTCTCCTAATGGCATACATTCTCTTAGGAGTCCATAAATGTTTTCCTTTTTCTTATTCTTATAAAATTTGGGCTGCTGGGATGGCTCAGCAGTTAACATACTGCTGCTAAACCTCACAACTGAGTCTTGTTTCTGGAATCCACAAGACAGGAGAAAATTGCCTTTGACTTCTAAACATGCATCATGGCACACACCTGCCCACACGCATACATAATGAATAAATAAAATTTAAAAACCTAACTCAATTTTAATACTTGCTATAATTAGAATATAATTATATACAGTGAAATGCACAGGGCTTGAATATATATTTCAATAGGTTTGTTGAACGTATATAACATATTTTACCAAAACTCAAATTGGAACATGTAATATACTTCTCTCTATACAATCTCATCTAGGTATCACATTTACTCATGTGCTTTGCAGCCACACCTCTACTTACCTATAGATTAGTTTTGCGTATGCTTTATGTGAGTGAAATCACACAGTATTTGCTCTTCTGTGTGTGTTTTGTTATCCAGAAAGAAATAGGTATTTCTGAAATATATTCATTTTGTTGCATGTATCATTCCTTTTTATCACTCACTGGTATTCTATGAACTGTCAGCATCTGTTTATCTTTTACCTCACTGATAGGCACTTAGACTGTTTCTGTTTGGATGGGTTAACACTAAAGGTTCAGTGAACATTCTTGACCTCGTCTTTTGGTGGATGTAATGCTTTCATTTCCTTTGAGTAAAAACCTGGCAGGAGAATTACAAGACCTAAGATAGCCACACAGCTTTCCATCCTAGGCTGCACTGTCAGAAATATTGCTTGGAGTTTGAATTGTCTTTATATCTAAAACTGGAACTTTAAAACAAGAGTTTAATTCCCTTTGATACTTATTAGCTCAATAGAAAACTATTATAGAGTGTCATAAATTGATAATTAGATAGGAGGAGATAGAATTAAAAAAATAAAAATTAGAAAGGTTAGCCGGGCGGTGGTGGCGCACGCCTTTAATCCCAGCACTCGGAAGGCAGAGCCAGGCGGATCTCTGTGAGTTCGAGGCCAGCCTGGGCTACCAAGTGAGTCCCAGGAAAGGCGCAAAGCTACACAGAGAAACCCTGTCTCGAAAAACCAAAAAAAAAAAAAAAAAAAAAAAAAAAAAAAAAAAAAAAAAAAAAAAATTAGAAAGGTTTAGGTAGATTTTTAATTTTTTTCTAGATTTATGTATTTTATGTGTATGAGTGTTTTGCTCACAGGTATTCCTGTGCACCATATACATGCCTGGTACTCAGTGCCGGAAGAGGGCATTGGATCCCCTGGAACGGGATTATGGGTGCTTGTAAGCTGCCATGTGGCTGTTGGGAATCAAACCAGGGTCCTCTGGAAGAAAACAAGTGCTCTTGATTGGTGATCTGTCTCTAGCACCTGGATAGATTTTTAAGGAGAGTCAATAGGAAGAAAAAAAATGGTTTAGTTCTGAGCCTTGACATACAATGTAATGTTCTTTTCTGTCCTATGCCTGCTCATTTAGAAAAAGAATCATGATCTAAATGGGAGCTAGAACAGAACAACATGACAGTGAGAAAAATAATTGGTAAGGGGGAAAGACTAAGGGGTAATAACATTAAAGGTTTAATGACCATCTATCTACTTATTCCTTTTCTGAGAACATTATAACATCTTCCATGATACATTCCTGCTATTCATTTGGCACGACTCCAGACTGCATTCACTCTAATGTGGAAAAGTCTTGGGCAAGTTTTATATGGTTTACATTATTCAGACACAGAGAGAAAATTACTAAAAACATTAAGTTAGCACATTGTTTGATACCCTCTTATAGTGGTTGGCATTATAATAATTTACCATGAAGAACTAGGAATGAATGAGTACAATTTAAAACAAACTACTTTTTAGATTGATTTCTTTATTTTATGTGTATGAGTGTTTTGCCTCTGTGTGTGTACATTCACCATATGTGTGCCTGGTGCCCTTGGATGTCACATTAAGGTGCCAGAGTCTCTAAAACTGGAGTTATGGATGGTTGTGAGTTACCATGTCCTGGGACTCGAACCCATACCCTCTGAAAGAGCAGCAAGTACTCTAAACTGCTAAGTCACCTCCAGCTGGTACAGTTGTTAATTATATTGAAATTCCTAGTTTAGAAACTAGCAAACCTAGCTTGGAAACAAGCATACCATTGCTAGCATTATTTTTCTGGCAGAAAAAAAAGGATAAGGTGAGGTAGAGAAGAGAATAATTATATATTTATTCTAAGAAATGATTTCAACAGCTCTCTTCCACAGGAAATGTTTGGAACTGAAGGAGTTGACATAATTCTTTATGTAATGAAAACAGACCCCAAGAAGTTACAGAGTGGCTTAGGCTACAATGTGCTTCTTTTCAGTACATTAGACAGCATTTGGTAAGTATTGCTATGACCAAGTGAACACCCAAGTACAAGACAATTAAATTTACAGCTACAGATTTTCTCCCCTCAAAATCACACTGCAGGGATAAGTTGGTGCGTTCTCTGTTTAGATGACCTAAACATGAGTTTGAGAAGTAAATAAGCCCATTTCTCAGGTAGGAAGCCATTTGTTTCAAAACTTAATTGCTTGTTGTGATTTAATCCCATTCCACTTTGGTGTCACCTAGGAAAAGTGTCCCCTTACTTATGCAGTATAATGCTTCTATGTTGGCTCTTCTAGGCAACCCTGCTCTGTTCCATCGACATTCTTCTAACTTCCCTGTAATTTTGTGTTGTTTTAATAATTATGCCTTTTAAATATTTGATACAACAATTACTTTTCCTTGTTCTTTGTTCTTCTTAGCTTTTGTTGATAACTTAGATGCATTAATGTTGTCAGAGTTTGCAGAGAGATAAAATTAATGTAAGTTATATAGGGAGGAATATTTATTATAGGAGTTGGCTCACTTATAAAGGTTGAAAAGTTCTAAGCTGAAAAAATAAAGCAAGCTAAACATCTAACTTTGCTTCTTTTCCAATTGCTGTGACAAAATACCCTGAACAAAAGCCACTTAAGGAAGAAGTGGATTTTTAAAGAGCTAATTATTTTAGCTCATAATTCCTGGTTCCAGTCCATCACTGGAGATGTCACGGTGTCAGGAACTTGAAGCAGTTAATCATATTACGTCCACAGTTAACAGCAGAGAGAGAATAAATGCATGCATGCTTGTGTTCAGCTTGTTTCTTCCACTCTTAGATAGCCCAGGGAATGGTGCCACCCACAGTGGATGAGTCTTGTCACCACAGATAATATAATCAACATAATCCCCACAGGTTTGCCCAAGCCAACCTGTTCTCTTGTTTTCAAAAGGAAGCCATATTTAACCAAGGGACAGAGGAAAATGTCTTTACTGATTGGAAGAAACAGATCAAAGTCTGTTACTAATAACTACCATCGTCCCTACTATTTGTGATAGCTTAGACAGTCTACTCAGGAAACTCCTGAGGAAAACAATAAAAGTAGCCTTGGAGGCAGTTCCAGCCCCTCATTCCATGCAGTCCACGTGGACTTGAACAGTAGGCACTTAAGCAAATGTCAACTGCAAGAATGAATGTGATCAAGAATTGCCAAATATTTCAGCTGCACCAAACCATGAAAGAGATGATAAACAGACAAACTTGAAGACGTGGCTATTACAGCAACTAGAGGTCTCTCAGAATCATCACTGTCATGAAAGTAAAGGGAAAAGTTGCACGTGCAACAAAGAAAATGTAGAGAAATAATTAGTATTAGTTTTAGAAAATAATTGAATTTAGGACTGGAGAGACAGCTCAGCAGTTCAAAGTGCGTGTTACTCTTCCAGAGGACCCAGATTTCCCAGTTTGTAGATCAAGTGGCTCATAACTGCCTGTAACTCCAGCTCCCAGCCACCTGACACCAACCTCTAGCTTACATTCACAAAAAAAAGCAAAGAAAAGAAAATTCTTGAAAAATAGTTAAAATTACACTTACAAAGCTTCTTCAGAGTTTTGATTTTTAAAGTAAAAGCAAATTAGCTACTTGATTTAAGGAACAAAGTAAAAGGCTTGCCTAGAGATGCTATGAGAGGAAGAAGGGTCTGCAAGTTAAATCTAATGACACGTTTGTGGAATGACCAGCTTTCTTTTCATTGAAGGTGCTGCATTTTGGGATGTTATACTTCTGAAGATTATTTTCTTGAAAAGGAAGGGATTTTTCTCCTTTTGGATATATTGGCAGTAAGTAATATCCACAGCACTAACACAAAATATGCATATGTCTATGCTAATCTTTTCCAAACCAAGTGCCAGAAAACAGTGTTTTGTGAATAAATGTGCCCCCAAATAATGTGAAGCTATGTTGAGGGTTTTGTTGTTGTTGTTTGGGGTTTAGTTTTTTTCAGACAGGGTCTCTCTATGTAGTTCTAGCTGTCCTGGAACTCATTATGTAGATCAAGCTGGCCTTGAACTAACAGAGATCCTTCTATCTCTACTTCCTGAGTGCTGGGATTAAAGACATGTGCCACCATGCCCAGCCAGATACATTGTTTTATTTTATTTATTTATTTATTTATTTATTTATTTATTTATTTATTTATTTATTTTGGTTTTTCGAGACAGAGTTTCTCTGCGTAGCTTTTCGCCTTTCCTGGATCTCGCTCTGTAGACCAGGCTGGCCTCGAACTCACAGAGATCCACCTGCCTCTGCCTCCCAAGTGCTGGGATTAAAGGGGTGCACCACCACTGCCTGACTAGATACATTGTTTTAAATAAAATCCCTCCTGGACATTACAGAAACATTAGCATATTAATGATTCTGAACATTCCTCCAGTTAAGGAATCCATTTATGGAGGTCAGTGTTCTCAGACACAGGTAAACAGATTTTTTTTCCTATCTACTCTATCAACCTGCCAAGAAACAGTTTATGACAAGCTACCCTGTGTCCTGTATCAAACCCCTATCAACCAATCAGTAACTTCCAGCTTTCCCCCAGTATTAAAGTTATTGGTAACAGTAGAAAAAGATGACCCTTTTAAAGAACTGTCTGCAGTCCAGAGATATTATGAGGCCATGTGGTGTACCAGGAGTGAGCTAGGAGTTACCACCTAGCAGCTTTGGAGAACTCAGCCCTCAGTTCTGTTGATTTGAATTAGGTGTGTAGTCAGTTTTATATGGGAGGAAAGTCATGACTTAGTTTCAGTGAAATTTTGAAAGCCTCATACAGAGTCATAGATATGTCAGTATAATTACCACATTTTTATATTTTATTAACAGAATAATAACCCTACTTTGATCTGACAAGCATACCAAAATTATCTGTCTCCTATCATGTCTTTGCAAGAGAATTTATAAATTACTCTGTTCATAATGTTTTCATCTATAAAACAGAATAACAGCTGTCTCATTCCCAGAATTAGGGCTAAATGAGTAACATATTGTGTGCGTGAAAGCTCTCAGTTATATGTACATGAATATGCTATGCATATGTGAATATAAATACATTGACTTAGATTGTGCCTGTATACATTATTGCAAGGTGTTTGCTATGATGGTGTTACTAAATTGTGCTTAGTGTAGATTTAGTCAATAAATGGAAGAATGCTGTTACATCAACTTCAATCATTGACATTTGCTTCTTACTCCTGAAAGTGAAGTACAGGAATTAAAAACAAAAACAAACAAGTAAACTAACAGAAAACACAAAACCCTCATTTGATTTAAGGTTCTTTCTATTTTGATATAGTTCTGCTAAAATATTTATTCATTGTGCAATAATACTGCTAATAAGGGTTAAATATTATAGAGCACTTACTGTGTATCACAAAACCCATTGCAGGTAATACTGTCTTTCATAAAGGAAATTTGTATTAGTCAAGTTTCTCTAGAGAAACAGAACTTATAGAACGAATCTGTCTATCTATAAAGGGGATTTAGTAGAGTGGCTTACAGGCTGTGGTCCAGCTAATCCAACAATGGCTTTCTACCAATGGAAGAACCAAGAATCCAGTAGTTGTTTAGTCTATGAGGCTGGATGTCTCAGCTGGTCTTCAGTGTACACCAGAATCCTAAAGAAGTAGGCTGTAATGCCTGTGAAGGAATGGACTTTCTAGCAAGAGTAAGCAGGCAAAGGGAGCAAGCTTCCTTCTGTATGTCCTTTATATAGACTGCCAGCAGAAGGTTTGGCCCAAATTAAAGAGGCATGATCCTACTGTCAAAAGATCTGGATTAAAAGTGTGTCTTCCCACCTCAAAGAACCAGATTAGAAATTGATCTTCCATTTCAAATTTAATTAAGATTTTAGTTAATTCCAGATGTAGTCAAGTTGACAAGAATAGCAATCACAAAAACTGACCACATTTGCAATTCAAACAAAAGATTATATGTTTTCTGGCCAGAGAAGTTATCAACAAAGAATATTCTATATAGAAAATTTACTATGTGGAACCCATTGTTGTAGATGGGACTGTTTTTATTAATTTTGTTCTTTGACAATTTCTTGCATGTATATAATGTAACCTCTTTACTTTGATCCATCACCCTCTCCTACCTCCTTTATGTCCTGCCATCCTTCCCTCTTCCCTATAAATCTCTTTCCTATATTTGTGTCCTTTTGTTTTGTGGCCCATTGGTTTTAACCAGAATTATCTATATGGCCACAGGTTTAGAACTGAATCCACTGAATCCTGGTAGACTCAAGATTGGTTACACAACAGAAAACAATGACTGTCCTTCCCAGAATCCATCAGTAACGAGGAGTTCAGCAGGGAAGGGTAGGGCCCCATGGGTCCATCTTTGATCTATGATTGGTTGTTGGCAGGCTCGGTTTTGTACAGCTCCAGTGCAGGCAAACATAGCTACTGTGAGGTCATGTTTGCAATGGCTGTGTCATGTTCTGAAGATAGTATTTTGCATCCCCTCTTCCTGTGTTCTACCTCTTAAAATCTCTCTGATTCCTTTTTCTTGATACTCCTTGAGCCTTAGAGGGAATGATATAAACATCCAGTTTAAAGATGAACATACAACTATCACTTATTCGTAGCACTTTGAGCAACTATGAATATCTGTATTCACCACTGTTGACTACAAAGAAAAGATTCTTGATTTAAGAATGAATAGCATTTGCCTATGGATATAAACATCAATATTTAGGATGTAGTTAAACACCATGTTACTTTAGCTAAACAACAGTGCTAAGTTACCCTAGGGCATATGATCTCAGCCATGATTTTTATCCAGATTTATAATACCATGCAGGTATCTCCTGTGGAGAGCGCCTCAAATTCATTCTGAGCATTGTTGGTTGCCCCATAAAAGTTGTACCAGTATTACACTGGTAAACTCATCTTGCCTGGCAGGTTAGCATTGTGGTTTGTAGGGTTGATAGCTGGGTAAGACCATTGATGCCTTTTCTCCCAGCAGCCTGTGTAACAGCTTCTGGCACCATAAAAACTAGCCAGCAGGGTGGAAACTTCCAACTCATTCTAGCTTGATTTTTCTACATCTTGTGACCAAGCTGTATGGTATCTTAAGCAATAGGATCTTATCATCTGGTTCTTGTGAGCAATCAAAAAGAATTTCAGGAGTCTGTATTGTTTTGAGGATCTCTGGGGCCTTATGGCCAACAACTCATGAAGAGTGCTACACCTGGCACTGGGACTTCTGTTTAATAAATAGGGGTTTCTAGGAGCAGCATTACCCAGCCATTCAGATATCTCCATCCTAACTTTTTAAAAATATGGTTTTAAGGTTTTTTGTAGAATTTATTTTATGTACATGAGTGTTTTGTCTGCCTGTATTTATGTGCACCATGTGTGTGCCTAGTGCCCACAGAGCTCTGAAGAGGGCTTTAGATCCCCTGGAGATGGAGCTGTGGATATCTGTGAGTTACCATGTTGGATGTTGGGAATAAAACCTGAGTAGTCTGCAAGAACAATTGTTCTTAACCACTGAGCCATCTGGCCAGCCTCTTAACATGCTTTAGTTGACTTACAAAGTAGTAGGGGTCCATATGGCTTTTTCACACACCCTTCACTTTGGTTAGCCTTCCCTCTCTACCCCTTCATCACCTCTTTCTCTACCCCCATCCTTTCTGACTCCTGTCTATCTCAGGTATTCCCTGTCTCTTTCATGTCACCAGTGTTCTATAAGCCACCCTCCCCCTAAGGCACCTTAGTCTCAACTAGCACTTTTCTAGTTTACTAGCTTCTGCAGGTCTGAGTTAAATGTACACACCTGAAGTTTCAAATGGGATTTTCTAAATTTAAATTTTGTTTTTTGGTTAAAAAATATGTATGCTTGATAAAAGAAATTTTCTTGAATACTGAAAAGCTCTTGTATAGTTAATGATAGAGTACACATTTACACATCAATTTAATTTTTTCATATTTGACTGTCACAGTTAAATCAGTTATTCTATTGATAACAAAGAGTATAGCTGATAATAATCTTTTCAAAGCTTAATAAAACATGTAAATGGGAAAGATCCTGTACTCACAGTGAACTGTCACTGATAACCATGCTCCATTATATATATAAAATATTAATTATTATACAATATATAATAAATTATATATTATATATATATATTATTTTCTTTTTTTTGAAAACTGTCCTTCCATTTCCACCAAATGAATACATTTTTACCATGAAGTGTGTTTATGACTACTTAAGAATTATATTAAATTTCTTTATTATTTTAAGTTTTAGTATTTGAGAATGCTCATGAATGACTTACTGGACATTGTCGCCATCAGAGAGCTCAGAAGGAACTGGCTGATATCCAAGTGTCTCTTTCAGGAAGCCAGTCATTCTTAGTATTCATTACCATTCTTTGTCCTTTTCTGTTTCCTTGAAAGTTGAACCAAAAGAAATTCTGTAATCTGATACTTGGAATAATGGTTGAATTTTGTGATAATCCCAAAACCTCTGCTCATGTCAATGCTTGGCGAGGGAAGAAAGACCTAACTGCTGCTAGTCTTTTAATTAAATTGTGGAGAAAGGAGGAAAAGGAACTGGGAGTAAAACGTGATAAAAATGGCATGATTGTTGGTAAGTGTGTTCCTAACTTTTGGTAGAAACAATTAGAGGTGTACCTCTAGAGTTTTAAAGAATATAGGAATATGAGGATACTTGCCCCATTTTATAGGGTTCTTCCAACAAGATACTGGAGACTTTCTGTCATAAATTGTAAATAATTGGCATCCAAGGAGATAGTTCTGTCAGTAAAGTGTTTGCAGGACCGGAGTTCTACCTCAGAACCACAAAAAAAGCCAGACATAATCCTAGCTGTGGGAAGGCAGACTCATCTCCAGGGCTCACTGTCAAGCCTGCAGAACCAAGTATCCCAGGCCAGTAACAAGACCTGTCACAAAAACAAGTAAAATAAAAAAGTGGACAGCACCCGAGGAACAACTATATAGATAACTATATAGATTGTCCTCTCTCTCTCTCTCTCTCTCTCTCTCTCTCTCTCTCTCTCTCTCTCTCTCCCCCCCCCCCCCCGTGTGTGTGTGTTGTTAATAAAATAAGAAATTGTAAATAATTAGAAGAAAAGTAATTTAGTAGTGGGTTCATTTTTATAGAATATTTTAAAACACGATATTTGACTGTATTCTTTAACTCAGAAATTAATGATACTTCCTAAATAAGTTTATTTGGATTTCTTGCTTTTATAACTAGGTTCAATAATGTTTCATTTAGTAACAAAACTTTATACATAAATAAAGTGTTTGACAACAATCATTATGGTATTTTGTATGCTGGTGTATATATATTTTCCTTTTCACACAAAAGAGATTGCTTTCTAGTAAAAATAAGTCAGATGTTCATCAATTTTAAGTGCTGTATTCTAATGAGGTTGATGGAATCAGAGTGTGTAATTAAGTCAATTACTCTGTTACTTCTTCTGAACCTTTCATAGTCAAATTGTCTTTTTAGCAAAACTGCTAGCAATATCTATTATTAAATAAAAATACTGCCACTTCAAATTATTTCTGTCTCTAATCCCTTTTTACTATCTGAGTTTTAAACTAAAACATCATGAGAAAGCTTTTCTCTTTATGGCATAATTTATAGAAACTAATCAAAATTGTTGTATCACTATTGATCTGACATTATCCCATCTCTAAAACTAAATTTGACAAATGGTTTACATTCAGCTTTCATCTTTAGAGAAGCTATGACTATAGGCTGGAGAAAGGGCTCAGCAGTTAAGAACGCTTGCTGCTCATCCAGAGGACCTGAGTTTGAATCCAGTCGCCTGGTCAGGTGGTTCACAACTGCCTCTCCCTCCAGTTTCTGAAGGCCAGCTCCCTCTGGTGGCCTCCACTGACACTCCCATACATGAAGCATAAACACACCCAGGCATACACACATAAGTAAATCTTAAAAAAAAAAAATTAAAACTATAGCTGTGTTTTTTTTCTTTTGAGATGGAGTCACCCTATGTAGCCTGCTGTCCTGAGACTCTCTGTGTAGACCAGGCTAGCCTCAGACTCATAGAGATTCACCTGCTTCTGTCCCTCAGGTGCTGGGGTTGAAAGCATGCATCATTATTCCCAAAGTAGCTGTAATTTTTTTATCTTACATAAATAAGAAAAGTCAAAGCTGTAAGTTGTGCCACAGAATGGGAAAAATATACTGATTATGCTTTCAAAGTAGTAGCCATGGCCTGGCAGGTAGCAGGGGGGTCAGTGATAGAGTGCCTGCTTACCAGTCCTGGGGTGGACTCCCAGAACTTAAAAAAAGAAAGAACAAGGCACTATGTTTTTGTTTTAAATTTTAAATATATCTTTATGTTTTGATCCATTTTATGTAGAGAATGAAATATCAAATATTGACTGTAGTTTTATCTCTTCCTTCTATGTTTCATGATACACAATGACTAGATACAAAGAAACCTCTGTTTACTAGTTTTCAAGAAGAACAAAAGATCACACCCCTGCCCGCTAACTGCCCATCTGTTGCAGTTATGGATGTCGCCGAGAATATCAGAGCAAAAATTTATGCTGTGCTGGGAAAACTGGGTAAGAAACCCTGAAATTCACAAGGCTGTCTGTGTGACGAGTATCCCTGCACTTGCTTCTGCTGCAGAGTCCACGTGACACTCATGAATAAAGTCCCTTTGTACAATAAATGCATGATCCCTCCTGACCCCAGTGCCCAGGTTAAACTGTGGCCAGGGTGCAATATATGAGAGAATAATTTTTTTTGGTTTTATTTTTGTGATACAGGGTTTCTCTGTGTAGTTTTAGTGCCTATCTTGGATCTCGCTCTATAGACTAGGCTGGCCTCAAACACACAGAGGCTCTGCCTTCCAAGTGCTGGGATTAAAAGGCGTGTGCAACCCCCACCCAGCAAAATAGTAATTTTTTAAAAGTTAGAATTTTGGAGTGTGGAGTCCAAAGAGAAGTTTTGGGTTTTTTTTGAGTTTTGTTTGTTTGTTTGTTTGTTTGGCTTTCCAGGCAATTTCAGTGTGTAGCAGGACCACAAGCAGTTAATTCAGATATTTAGGCTTAAACATTAGCATTCTGAATTATCTCAATTTTCAAAGTCTTTTCTTTCTATTAAGGGAAAAATTCTCATTTGCTCTTTAGCTTCTAATAGTAAAACTCTATGACCATGGTCCAGAAAGAATGAATTCTTGCTAATGACTATGTAAGGATAACCTGCAGAAGGATTGGTTGTGGGAGTGTATTATGTTTGCATTTGTTTTTATAATAGAAATACAAATCTTGAAATCATTTGCTCCTATTAAAATAATTCTCTCTGAAAAAAATTTGATAGATTTTGAAAACTTACCTGGCCTATCTGCAGAAGATTTTGTCACCCTCTGTATAATACACAGATACCTTGATTTTAAAGTAAGTACTGTTTTAATAACTTAAAATCTATTAGATCAAAAATAAGTTGGGAAATAAAAATGTGTCCATAACTGGTACAATTGTTCACATAGTCTAGTATTCTTTTTCTATTTTTTATATGATATGATATAAAACTCAAGCCATTCTTTGCATTTCTTTTACAAGACAAGATTTTATACAACGGACAGAGCCACAATGCCTCACAGATATACAACAGAGTAGTTGTACATATAAGCTGACCAGTGGCTGTGACTGCATACACCTCTAGGCAACAGAGTAGTTGTACATATAAGCTGACCAGTGGCTGTGACTGCATGTACTTCACAGATATACAACAGAGTAGTTGTACGTATAAGCTGACCAGTGGCTGTGACCATATGCACTTCATAGTTATACAACAGAGTAGTTGTACATATAAGCTGGCCAGTGGCTGTGACCGCATGCACTTCACAGTTATACAACAGAGTAGTTGTACGTATAAGCTGACCAGTGGCTGTGACCGCATGCACCTCACAGATATGCAACAGAGTAGTTGTATGTATAAGCTGACCAGTGGCTGTGACCTCATGCACCTCGCAGATATGCAACAGAGTAGTTGTATGTATAAGCTGACCAGTGACTGTGACCGCATGCACAAAGCCTGGACAAGAGAAAACCAAAGTCCCAGCACGGAGCAGGGAGGTGGTCAGAGAATTCCACCCCTAGCTGAGGAGCTATTGGCAACCGACAGCAGCTTGGAGAGGGAGGGTCTGTTTTCTTTGGGATACCCCCCCCCCCCCAGGTTACACATGCTCTGGTAGATGGCCCTACTCTCATACATATACTGATAATACTAGGTGGATTCCGTGGGTTGGCAGTTTGTTCTAAAAGGGAACACATGGAGCTGAGAGGGAATATTAGGAGAAGGTAATAGAGGAGTGAGGAGAGGAATGGGGGTGGACTTGATAGATACATTACATGCATGTATGAAATTCTCAGTCAGCCCAACTGTTAGCATACAAGAGATGACTATTACAGAGTCATTCTGAAGGCTAATGGGATTTTTAAAACATTTACCGTTTGGAAAGTAGTAGAGCCAAAGTTAAGCAAGGTATTGCTTATTAAAGTGTTACTACTTGCCAAAGTATTCTTTATCGTTTCTTTATGTCATTAATCAAATCTCATATAAAAACAACCAGGTTGCTTAGTTCTCCGCTAAGTGAACTGAGTAAATAAATGTTCTTGAAGTCTCAGGAAAATCTTCTGAAGTAAACATTTTATTTCAGTGTGTATTATATATTTGGATGTTGTGAATGAAGAAGTCTTTTTTCAAATGAAAGCAAAATCTGGTTGTATTCCTGTTTTAGATGATACAACTGTTTCTCTATTTTTTTTTCAATATAATCTAATACCTTGCTTAATGGAGATGTTAGCATAATGAAAGTATGGAGTTAAAAGCTTGAGATTCATTCAGTTATATGCCTTTGCTCGTAGGTGAAGACCAGCTTTGCATTTCTTTTACAAGACAAGATTTTATACAACGGACAGAGCCACAATGCCTCACAGATATACAACAGAGTAGTTGTACATATAAGCTGACCAGTGGCTGTGACTGCATACACCTCTAGGCAACAGAGTAGTTGTACATATAAGCTGACCAGTGGCTGTGACCGCATGTACTTCACAGATATACAACAGAGTAGTTGTACATATAAGCTGACTAGTGGCTGTGACCATATGCACTTCACAGTTATACAACAGAGTAGTTGTACATATAAGCTGGCCAGTGGCTGTGACCGCATGCACTTCACAGTTATACAACAGAGTAGTTGTACGTATAAGCTGACCAGTGGCTGTGACCGCATGCACCTTTTCTGGGAGTCACACGTCCCAGGCTCTCAGACTTCCTCCTCCCTGCCCGCCCCTTCCTCCCGATTCAGCATGACCTAGCCTACAGTAGAGAGCTGTAAGGAGTAATAGCATCAATACTTCAGAAAGCCAAGCTTGAAAAGCAGTTTCTGCAGCTATGAAAGGGAATTAACTATAAACCAGAATACTCAGGTGTAGCTGGTACCCATATCATTCTCAGCACATCTAACTTATTCCCAAGAAGTAAATTAGGAAAAGCTTAAACATTAACAAAATAACCACTACATAAAGAATTATGTAAAAATTTTTCACTTACTTTTGTTAATTTAAAATTCTCAACTTAAACTTTGCCACAACAGATTGGAGAAATATGGAATGAAGTATGTGAAGAAATAAAATTGGAAAAGTTAAGACTAGTCACGTCAGATAAAATGTCTTTGGAATCTATTACAGCAGCAACAGAAAATATTGGAAAGATGGTCGCTTCCCTGCAAAGTGAGATGATTGAAAGCCAAGCACGCCAAGATGTGCAAAATGAACAAAGAGTATATGCAAAAGTAAGCCAAGGATACCCCTGAGCCTTTGAGGCACAAGTTGTTAATATCAGTGTATAAAGTAGATGAAGTTATCCATAAAATAGATTTGTCTTATTTGTGACTATTTCAACACTGAATTATTTTCCTTTATCTAATAGCTATTTTCAATGTCTTTGTGCAATTTTAAAAGAAACTGTGGAGTTAAGAATTTAAATCTAATCACTGTTTTCAGTGTTGGTTTTGCATTATAATTTAATTTCTCGTTTTCTTTTTCTGTGTATATATGTGGTATATGCTTGTTTACACACTTATGTGCATGGAGGTTTGTACATAAATGTGGAAGCTAGAGGTGGTTGTTCAGTATCTTTCTTAATCACTCTCCACAAGGTTTTCTCTGAGCCAGAATCTACCAGTTGAGCTGGATTGATGGCCAGGAAATCCCAGAGATCCTCCTGTCTCTTCCTCCCCATCACTGGGCTTACTGTCACAGGCTGCCATGCCAGGCTTTTCCTGTAGGTTCTAGAAATGGGAACTCAGGTCTGCATGCTTGCACAACAAGCCATTCACTGACTGAGTTCTCTCCCCAGCCCTGTAAGTTTATCCATATGCTTATGTTTTACAAAGTAAAGAGATACTTGACACACTTGTATTCTTGGAAATGTCCAAAAGGGTTCTAAAAGTTGTAACCTGGTTAAATATATACTTTTCAGGGGAGCTTGAGAGATAGCTCAATGGTTAAGAGCAGCTGCTGCTGTTCCAGAGGACCTGGGTTCAATTCCCGGTACTTACATGGCAGCTCACACTGTCCATAACTCCAATTCCAGGAGATCCAACACCCTCGAACAGACATGAATGCAGGCAAAACACCAATGCACATAAAATAAAAAAAACCAAATATTTACTTTTAATATATTCTGGCAGTTTACCTGTAATGGAGATAAAGTTGTCTTTCACACCTCATTCTGTCACAGACCTTTACTGTCTTACCATCTATAAGCTTATCCATCCCTCAGCTTCATCCTCACCTCAATTCCAAAACACGTACGAGCATTGATTCTGTACATGCCTACGTAAACTGGTCTGACTTTACTAAACAGAGAAGTCAGCCAGGAAAATAGCAGCCTTCCCTAAAACTTTGCACAGGTGAGAAACTGCAACGTAGTTTGTTTGCTTGTTTTACCACCTAAGAGGCATTTAAACAATGTCATCCATAGACAGAGAGATGTCACCAGAGATGTCACTTCATCTTGGTTCTCTATAACTAGTTAAGCACCTATGGCTCCTTGAGATGATCTCCGAAGTGTTGTCTATTGCCTGATCTTTCCACGTAGACTATTGAATGTTTGATTCTACAGCTTAGGACCTATGTCCATTCACCGGTGGAATGCCACTCCACAGCTAATTGCTTCAAAGTTTTGCTTGCACAAGGTTTTTACGACGTGAGTGCTGCTATAAGCTGACTGATCTGCTCAGAACCAAGAAGAAAAGATGGAACTTAGGCTGCCTCTTGACCACTAGTTCTTTTGAACTGCAGAACCTTTGCTGTTTTGACTGAATATTTATTGTCATACCTCTGTCCCCACTTTTTTAGCAGTTCTTAAGTAGCCCTAAAATATTGTATTTATAATGATATTATGTATATTTGTATGATACACAATACACACTGATGGCATGCATCCTCTGATTAGACATTTGATGGGGAGCCTATTAAGAAATAGAGTTGCTGCTTAGTAGTTGCCCTTCTAGAGTACAGTCTCACAACAAACTCGCAGTCTCACAAAATTGCTTATCTTGTTGCAGTCAGAGATTAAAAGTAGTTTTGCCAATATAATTTTGTCTAAACTAGTGATCAGTGGCAGCAGAATCCCTTTATTTTCACCTGTGACTTTCTCTTTAAATCCTGCATTTAGTATTCTCGGGACTATAATGTCTTCACAAACAGGAACTATGTGAAGTATCCAGTCTTGCTGAGAATGCTTATTATTAAAATGTTTTCAGCAGTTTGCTTTACTTTCCATGGAAAGTAGTTCAAACTTTAACCACAAAATGAATAACCTTTTTCATTTTAAGACTTTTTTGGTTGGTTGGTTGTTTTTTGAGACAAGGTTTCTATGTAGCTCTGATTGTCCTAGAACTCACTTTGTAGAGCAGGCTAGCCTAAAACTAAAATATTTCTGCCTACCTCTGTTTCCAGAGTGCTCAGAGTAAAGGCTTGTACCAATATTCCCCAAAACACTTGTTTTTAAAATTAAGTTATATTCTAATTTCTTTTTTAGTCAGCCTCAAATTTTCCTTTAGCAAAATGAGGCACTTCCTTTAAAATGGGGACTTCCAAGGCCTTTGGTGTGTTTCATAGAAACTGAAATTCCTAATTTTCTTATTTGTTTCAGATACAGGCCACACATAAGCAGAGAGAACTGGCTAACAAATCCTGGACAAACTTCTTGGCTAGAACGTCAAATGCTAAAACATTAAAGGTAGGATCTTTAAAGCACTTCCTGTTACACACAACAACCAGCCAGTCATAAGGACAGAGGGTTTTTTTTGTTTTTTGTTTTTTTGGTTTTTTGGTTTTTCGAGACAGGGTTTCTCTGTGTAGCTTTGCGCCTTTCCTGGAACTCACTCTGTAGCCCAGGCTGGCCTCGAACTCACAGAGATCTGCCTGCCTCTGCCTCCCAGGTGCTGGGATTAAAGGCGTGCGCCACCACCGCCAGCTCAACCAGCCAGTCTTAAGGACAGTGTTTTTTTGAAGAATGAATATTTATTTCCACTTTTCTAGTAATGTTCTGTAGGATACTACCACTGTTAGATCCTTGCCTGCCTCTTAGACTGACAATTGAAAGCACATTTTACAAATGAAAACCAGCCAGGAGTAAGCCAGAGAGAGCTGTGTCCTGCTCCCCATTCTGAGCCTTCTTACTGAAGGATCCCATTTCTATAAGCAGCAGCATGGGGTATAGGAAAGCAAATGTACATCCATCATGCTTTTCTAGCAATTAATACTGTTTTCTTTATAATTTAAAAATCTCCAGAAAGCAAAAAGGCTCCAGGAAAAGGCTATAGAATCCTCTAAATACAGTGAACGACCACAAAATGCAATATTTCACCAAACAGTTATTAAAGGTCTTAATACAACGGTAAGATTTTTTTTCCACATCTCTTTCTTAATAGATAAGAAGTTTGGGCTGCCAAGATGTTATTTCTATAGGAAATTTTGCCTTGTATATTTTGCTTTTTGTTGTTCAAATTTTCCATCATTAAGGCTGTCTCCAAGTTACTTCCCATCTTCCCCTAGTCCACCAGTGCCAGGTTAGAGCAGACACAGCCCCCCAGGTTTCCTAAGAAGTTGCTGCCATAGCTGGTCGGTGCATTGGTTGTGTCTTGCTTATAGGATAAGCCACTTCCTTTGCCCAGAAGTAGACCTGTGACACATTCCAGTTTCTTAGTGATCTCTGTTGAGCAGTTTGTCCCTGGCCACAAAACTAATGAGTGATAGAAGAATTCAAGCCCACTTTCTTGTCACCAAAGTCCTTGTCTCTCTCTTATGTCACACTGTTTCTGTTATACTTGGTGTCTATTCCAGAGCAAACCACAGGTTATGTGGGCTTTTTGTTATCAAAAAGGCTTATAAGTAGACTTTGAGATATGTGTCTTTTCCTCTTCCAGGTACCTTCAGGTCGGGTGGTGACGGTGGAAAGCACTCCTGCCCGGTTACTGGGGGGACCTCTGGCTGACACAGACATCGCTCTCAGAAAACTACCTATCCGAGGAGGGGCTCTGCAGCGGGTCAAGGCGAAGGCTGTGAATGAGCCAAAGAAGAACGTCCCCACATGAAGTGCTCCAGAACCTTCTTGAAAGATTCTACCCATAACTTTGTAGCTAAATGTATATTTATATTCAAATGTAAGGCAACATTTAGAATAACTATTTTAGTAAAATATTATAAAATTAAAGTCAGGATAATACCATTTATTTTTTATTGAAAACATCAACATATGTATCAGAAAAGTGGTCACCATTATCTTTGGAAAAAAACTGTTGGTCCCTTAACTGAAACTGTAAAATTTGTTTATCAGTTAGGATTTTGGCTAGATATCAATTACTTCAAATAGTCTACCCTGAAGGACATTTATATGGACTTTGTGTCTCCCTTCCTGAGTAATGTAGATTGTAGGCATTGTTGAACCAAAGGACTGAAACTGGCTTTGTAGGGATTTCCTTCAGCAGCCCCAACTTACGATCTTCCAGTGGAGAAGAGTGAATGCATGTTTCTCAATTTGTGCAGCTCACTCTACATCTTGGAGCCATTGGTTGGTCACATGCCCACTCTGGAACACCTCACCTTGAAGTCAGCCAGATCTGAGTACTCCTTGCTTGTGGAGCCATAAACAGTCCAAAATTATCTAACATACCTGAATGGAGTCAGGAATCAAGGTGCTATCATCAGATGGACACATGAACACCAGGAACAGCAAATAATATGTTGGTGAAAATAGAAAATAAATGTATCTATTATAGAGGGCAGTGTCAGTCACAAGCTATACAGCAAAAATAAAAATGAGGGTACAGATGGTTTTACTATTAATATGTAACTTTTCAAAGTTGAGCTGGAGAGATGGCTCAGTGGTTAAAAACACTGGATACTCTTCCAGAGATACCTAGGTTTAATTCCCAGTTCCCACATGGCGGTTCACAACCATCTATACACAGTCCCATAGGACCTGATTCCTCTTCTAGTCTCCTCAAGTACCAGACACCCACATGCACAGACATACATGCAGGCAAAACTCCCATATGCACAAAACAGATAAATAAAAATCTTAAGTAAATAAAAGTTTGAAGCTATTTCTAATACTATTTCTCTAATGGGGAAGTGACAAGTAGTGTGTGGGGGAACAGATAGAAGAACAACATGAGATGTTGGTCATACAAACAGCACCAAATAATGCCTCATTTCTGTCTCAGACACAACCAGAATCCTTATGCAGTGTCCATAGCTAAGAGCAATGAGTCGTCACAGCATTTGTAGACTATGAATTTCCCCAGACTCTTAGTTCCCCAAAGGCAAGGGAGAAAACTTGTATAATTTACTATTATGATCAACACCTCAGTAAGTAAGTTAGTGGTGTGGCCTTGACTCTTGCAGCCTTTCTTTTGAGGTCTTCAAATGCAGCAGTACCCTGACCTCGAACGGAAGAATAGCCCCACAGGATACTATGCAAGTAATGCCAAGCATGTTAAAGTAGTTTGAATATAAATACTTCAAAGTAATTATAGCTTTTCTCCAGTTATAAGGCAAAAGTACCATGGTATAAATATAAACACGTTATTGGGAAATTGATATGATGGAGCTGAGTATCAGTTTTGCACATAGTACAATGTTATCTCCAGATTGATTTAGACTGGTCACCATCAGGATTATCTAATGTCCACAGACTGTTCTGCCACTCATTAGGAAGAGAGAAGGCAAAATAAGACAGGTTATTTTCTAACATATTTACCACATGAAGAAGTATAGGCTGATGGAAAGCAGTAATGGTGCTTACTGCAGAGACCATAGAGATGGTAGACAGGTCTAAGACATTTGTCTGGCATAGGTCCAGCCATCACACAGTGAGCCAGGGAGACCACCTCTCCAATAGCATCACAAACTTTTCTGCTTTTCTTTATTTATATCCTGTTCACGCTCCTCTTGAGTCCTAGTGGATATGCTGTCTAGGCTGCCCTGCCCGAGAGGTGGGCAGGATTTTCTTCCATGAGTCAAGCTTTGAAACTGAAATGTGTACTAATCAGGTAAATAAAACTTGTGTTTGGGAATCAGAATTAGCTGTTTGGTATCCTTAAGGTCTCTGGAAACTCATCAGTTATGTGTTGTTAAATGAACTCTGCATAAACCCAAACCCATGAAACAAATTTTGAGCCTAGACAGTACAACTACAAAAAAATGCTGGCTTAAAAAAAAAAATAGCTGACTTCATCGGATAATTTGTATAAAGTAAGAAAAAGAAATAGTATGTCCCCATACCCCTGCTCCTCAATACCATTTTGGAATTCTTTTAACATATTTTTATGTCATTGAACTGCCTTTGAATTTATTGTTACTGTTTTTCCACCTTTTGTCTGATTGTGATGAAAACTCTGAGCATCAAAGATTGTGTCTAGATCGTTCGCCAATATTTCTCTACCTCAGTGAGCATTTGCTGAATGAATGAAGGACAAACAGGAGTGAGTTTTTCTATACAGATGAGGACATGATTTTTGCGATTTACTGTGGGGAGCAGATGCAGTACTGAGTGAGTATGTGTTGTTGATGTTAGTACAGCATATTGTAGTGGTATTTGCTCCACCCATGACCTTGGGCTAAGCCTCTGTGTGTTTACTTGGGACCAAACAGCTGCAGGACATGGGTGGGAGAGATTCCTTCAGACCAGGCAGAACCAGAGAAACTTCCGGCTACATCATATCATGGTTCTCAATGATTCAGACCCATAGGAATGGCAAAGACTTCCCTGGGTCAAGCTCAAGGAAATGGCAATGCTTCTCCCTGGACCATGTGTGAACACTGACAGTGTATACAGAAAGCATCAACCACAACTTCCTCCTTCTGAGTGATTATAGCCTGAGGCTGCTCCAGGACAGAGACCTCCCACTGAGACTAGCTGACCCCCCTCTTCCTTGTGCTGTACATGATAAATGAGTTTCCTGCTTGCTGAGTAGGTGCCCTCCATCAGAGAGAACACATCCCAGCTGACCATAGCTTTTTTCTGTATGTGTCTGTCCTTTCTTCATTCCCGCATCTACCCAGTCAGGTTTCCAGGACCAAGCAATGCAGGATGTGGCAATTTCCTGGGAGAAATTTTAACGTATCTAAATTATTAAAATTGCTTACAATTAACTGTTCTAAAACAAAGCTCATTTTAGCAAGTGTTCTTATTTTAAATTTTTTTAAAAATGTATTTGTGTGTGTGTTTACATGTGTATCACATGCAAATAGGGGCAAGTGGATAATTTGCAGAACTGTCTCCTTCCACAATGAGGGTCCTAGGGATGGAACTCAGGTCATCAGCCTTAGTGGCAAGCACCTTTACCCACTGAATCTTCTCTCCAGCCCAATGCCATTATTTTTAAATAATCTAGTGTAACAGGATAAAATTTAGGAGAATGAGGAGACTATTTGTAATCTATTTTAGGTTGGAAGGCTAATCACTCATTTTATTAAAGCTGAAATGTTTATTGTTGACTAAATAGATTTTTTACAGTTACTATGGGTGATTGATGACAACTGTCCAGATAAATCTTAGACCCAAATTACATAATTTTGCTTTATGGCACTAAACTATTGAACTGTGATCATTTGTGCACAGATTATGAAAGCCATTAAATTGTTTCCAAGGAAAACCCTGATACCTCTTCAACCTGCCTTTAAAAAAATGGACTTTAGTCATCTTATTAGTACCAGCTGATTTCCAGAGCTCAGGGCTCCTTCCTTAATGAGCAAAATATTTTTAACCTAAAAATATGTTGGACAAAAAAATATTGGACCTCCAATCTCATTTTGTTTGTGACCCAGCTAATATATTATTATGCAAGACTTGGTTACATGAAATAATACTTGTGTGGTGGTTTGAATGAAAATGGCCTAATAGGCTCATAAGGAGTTACACTATTAGGTGTGATCTTGTTGGAGTAGGTGTGGCCTTGTTGGAGGAAGTGTGTCACTGGGGGGTGGGCTTTGAGGTTCCTTCCTGATGTCTGAAGATCCAGACATAGAACTCTCAGCCCCTCTCCAATACCATGTCTCCACCATACTTCCCACCATGATGATAATGTACTAAACCTCTGAAACTGTAAGTCAGCCCCAATTAAGTGTTTTCCTTTATAAGAGTGCCATGGTCATAGTGCCTCTTCACAGAAATAGAAACCCTATCTAAGGCAACTTGTCAAGTAATATTTGAAAAGCTAAGAGGTTTGTTCATTTTTTTCTTCTTCTTTTTTTTTTTTTTTTGTATTTCAAGACAGGAATTCTTTGTGTAGCCTTAGCTGTCTAGGACCTCGCTCTGTGAAACAGGCTGTCCTCCAACTCACAGAGATCTGCCTGTTTCTGCCTCCTGAATACAAGTGCTGGGATTAGAGGCATGTGCTACCACAGATGGTTTGTTCCTTCTTCAACACTGAAGGTTCTTAACTTGCAGTTCATGTACCCTCCTTAAATTTGTATATGTATATAAAACCCTTACTAAAGCTCTAGTATTACTTCACGAGGATTTCAAGAGTGGTCCAAACACCCTCTTTTAATTCAAGGTTTACTCCTGAATCAAGTCAAATCATCACACGGTTACATATTTATAGTTTCTAGTACTATTTTTGCCATTTTTTAAGGTTGCTTATATTTAATTTGGTTGTGCCTACATCATTTTACACAGAGAAAAACATGTCCTCATCATCTAAAACACTTGAAAACAATGTTTACATCACAGTAGCCAATCAGGAAATCTACAGGGCAGATTTCTATTGGTTCTTTGTCCTGGAAAAGTGTGGGGATTTCCTAACCGTCTGGTTTGGTGGGTTTTTGTTTGTTTTGTTTGGTTGGTTGGTTTTGGTTTTTTTGTAAACACAAACCTCAAACTGCTTTTGAGTCCTTCTTCACTTGGAAACTGAGAAATCTCACCAAGTTTGCAGGTCTTTTTGTCAAAGATGCAGGCGGGGGTGGGCAGAGACCGTCTTTGGGTATCTTCCTCTACTACTCTCCACTTTATTTTTTGAGACCAGGCTTCTCACTGAGCCCCGAGCCCAGCAATTCTATTAGACTGGCTGTTCAGGAAGGCCCCGGGTCTTCCCGTCTCCCCTCTCCCAGTGTGGGGCTTGCAGACACATGCTCCTTCCTCTGCCTGAGTGTCTAACCTTAGGCCCTCAGGTTTGTGCCACAAGCGCCTGACCAACTTGATCCATCTCTCAAGCCCCAAATTATTGACTTGATGCATACAATCAAAATCATTAATACCATAACTGTGTATTATTAGTTCCCTGTAATCATTTCCCACTGCTCCAATTTCATCATCTACTATGTGCCATTCTTTTGTTTGGTATATTTCTCTAAAGCTGCATACCATTTATGGAATATGAGTGTGAGTTGTAAATAATATAAAAATGACTAAATATAAAATGTGACTAACATAATACCAAGGCATAAATTCCATCATGCTGTGCTTTGCTAAACTGTAGCTTTTTCATTTTTGTTTGTTGTTCCTTTTTTAATTTTGAGACAATATCAGTTATACCATAGGGGCTGGAGAGATGGCTCAGAGGTTGAGAGCACTGACTGCCCTCCCAGAGGATTTGGGTTCGATTCTTGGCACCCACGTGGTAATTCATAATTGTCTGTAACCCCTGTGCCAGGAGATCCAATGTGCTCTTCTAGCCTCTGCAGGTACTGCATCCCATAGTATACACACACACACACACACACACACACACACACACACACACACACACACACACTCAGGGAACATATCCATACACACACACAAAAATTTAAAAAAATAAAGAATTGTACCATAAAGGTTTTAGTCCTTAATACATAGAAAAATATTTAATATATAAGATGGATTAGTGTTGAAATGTAATTTCAGAAGGCAAAGAGAACATTATATCAAGATTAAATATCACTTTTAGATACTGGCATTTAGTTGGGGAATAGTTTTAAAGTCAATATTAGGGTACCAGATACTTTATAAAATTGATTATGACTTCACTCTACTGACTAGTTTAACAAAATCATATTTTCATTTGAAGTAGTATTTCAAACAAAGATAACTTGACAAAATGCTTTTTAAATAACAAATTTTTGACAAATTACTTAAATATTTGCAAATAATCCAATCACTGTCAATAAAGCAGTTATATATCTAGAGAAAGAAAACCACCAGATTAAGGAACTGAAAATCATAATTTTAATTACAACAGGACTTGACAAGTACTGACAGGATTATGCTTTCAGTTGGCATCTTGCTTGAGGTATTTTTTGTGTTTTTCTTCCTAAATGTAAAACATGTTTTATTATCTGTTTCTGTAGTATTGAGGGAAATTAATATTTCTTAATATAAGATTTCATTCTTCTATGCAACCCAATTGAAAATGTTTTGTTCAAAAGGCTACAACATGCCTGATATTTAAGTCATACAATATGAATAGATACAGAACTATATGGCTTTCTTATGAACTACTCATGGGGAAACAATAAGATGATTTTAATGATCTAGCAATGTATATGTTCCAAGATCATTTATAATCAAGCACTCTCCTGATTTCTAAATAATGTGAAAACGAAAAAAATGTAAAAAAAAAAAACTAAACATGGCAAGTTTGCTAGCTTATTTGATAAACCTGAAATAACCAGAAGGACTAAATATTGATTTTTTAATAAAGCCACATCACTACTTCCGTAGGTATACCTTCAAATCACCTCTTGTCATTTTCTGTGGAAAATTATACTTGGAAGATACCACCTGTCTTCTGCCCATTCCGTGAGACCTTGAAAGCAAACAGTCTATGTACATATCCCAGAAGTCTTGGGCTATGTTTAAGAAGATGCTGTAATGCCCAGGCCGCTGAGATTTTTGCAAGAACAACATGAAATTCCAGAAGGCATCCACGTTGTGCTCTATCTTGAGTTCCTTGAGGTCTATCAGTGTCAGAGAGCATGTGTTCCAGCATTGAAGATCTACATCTTCTGTGATGCCCGGACTGATGCTGGCTAGCACTCCCTTTTGAAATTCAAAGTCAGCATTTGTGAGATTGAACAGCACGATGCAGCCCAGGGGAAGGTAGACCCATCTCCTTACAGCAGCACCCATCCTATATAAGAAAAAAGAGAAGTTTAAAAAGAAAAATATTCAATACTTAGTGATCAATTTAACCTTAGAAAATTAAAAATATGTTTTATGGTAAAATTGAATGTATATTTGTTGGCTTTCCTCTGAGTTGCTGACTCTCAGTCCTTCCTTTGAAAGGATATGATTCTGGCTTGACAACCAAGTGTCTTGGGAGTCACTTAAATCTAGTGTATGTTTGTGAAGATGTGATCTTCATTTCACCATGGTCCTTTACAGCTGCAGGGAACCTTGGAAGCATGTGTGCGATCTTCCCTGTACAGATTAGTGCACTTCTCAGCGATGTGGTCTCCTGTCTCCCTGTCCAGGAGGATGAAAGTGGAACTCATTCTACATGAGTTATGAGAGGTTTTGTTGGGTTTTAATTGAATTATTAGAAATCTACTCCCCTAAGGGCACTGGATATCTCAAAAACTTTGTTTGTTTTGTTTTGTTTTCCACTGAAAAATATTTGTTAAGCACCCCTGTCCTGGGGGTCCTGGCTTTTCTTAGGTTCTTTAGGATTAGTTTAGAGATGAAGATATAGCCATAGAAAAGCAGGAAGATAAGGTGGGTACAGACGAGTATGAGGTGGTGCAGGGTCACTAACGGTCAGCAAATAGTGCCATGTTCTAGTGGCTTCTCTACAAAGTTTCCCTGTCAGTTGGTTCTTCAGCAAATCGACCTAGAACACATGGGTAAAGATCAAAGACTAACTTGCCAATAGATTGCCGCATAGGTGTTCGTCCTCACTGAGGGCGCTCTAAATGCTCCTATACACACCACCACCTCAACAGCAGCTCAGACGGATGGGGTGAAGAATCCGGAACCCAGACAGAACCCAAGACTCATCTCCTTTCTGCATACTGACTTTCTCCTCCTCTCTTTAAAAGAAACTAATTTCTTCTTTTTAAGGAAGAGAGAGATTTAAACAATATTCAGGTCGTTTTACACGGTCGGAAATTGTGCAGATTGCACGTAGAGCGAACTGGCAGTGGCAGGTGACAGATCTAAGAGGATGTGAGGGGTGGGCTCCAAGACTTTCTTTCTCTCTCAATTGGTTAGTTTCCCGACCAACGCCCTTTCCACCTATGGCCGCCTCGATGGGACGCAGAAGAGTGACCCCTCCCGGGAGCCAGGGAACCGAGTACCTTCAGTGGATGTCCTGGCAAGGTGGCACTTGAATGCGCCTCCGGCTCGGGAACAGACGGGAGGTGTCCGTGCAGGCTCCTGGCTGGGGGACCCGGGTTGTCTGTGCAAGCTCAGGACGTCCCACCCCGGGACGCAGGAGGAAGGTGGAGACGATGTTGCAAGACCCGGGGTGGCAGGGGTTGGGAGCGGGGACCCTTTGCACTGAGCCGGCGGCTCTGTTGCGGGCGCCTCTCTGGAGACAGCCTAGCAGGACCGCGCTCCTTTTCTAGGGAGAGCAAGCCCAGCAGTGGATGGCCACGCCCCCTCGGGGGGTCCCCGAACCCCGCCGCTCCTCCCGCTACGGCCTATCCAGGCTTGGCTTCCTCGTGATCACGTCTGTCTTTTCTTCCTGGCTCCCTCATTCTGTTCTCTGAGACTCCTGTTGGCGGTAGGCAGTCACCACCCGCAGCTATCTTCTCTTCCCTAGGCACCCAGCGACCGCGCCCGTGTCCACAGGAAAATTCTCTAAAGGCTGGAGACCTGTTAAAAATCCTAACCCTCCCTGATGGGGTTTAACCTCCAGCTTATCACCATTTAAATTATTAACACTAACCTCTCCACAAACTCAAGCGTTACCTCGCCTGTACCTAAATACTCTGGGAACGGTTTTCGGTAGCCTTCAGTAGAAAAAAAGACTTCAGAAAGTCCCTTATATGGTATGCCTGTGGTGGTATTGCCTATGGTCCAGCCTTGGCTCATCGTTAGGATAATCATGGGTGTTATGCCTGCTTCCTATGCTCGAACTCCATGGCAATGGTAAGATGCATGAGACAGAAAATCAAACCAAAGCCCTGGTTTACCTCTTCTTCCCTTTAGGCATGTCTCTGCCTTGCGGTTTCTTGAGCTAGGATGGAGACGAATTCCAACATCCCCAATTCACTATCCCTTCCTCTACACTAAAAAGGATTCCTCCATCAAGTAATTGCTACTAGTAGTTCTTTCCTGGTCTCCTCCTCACATGAGTGGAGTTTTAGCAAGGTTAACCATAGTACCTCATATCTTGACCTTAAATCCTTCCTGTGTTCCTTCTGCCTCCAGGACCCGCTCCTGTGTAAAACAGAGTTGAGAAAAAGGGGCGATTTGTTACTCAGATTTTGTAGGACACATGTAAATCTATCTCACACCAATATGCTTCTCCAGTGTTTTAGGTATCTCAGTCACAATTATTCTTGGGCTCTCATAGCAGGCAGATCAAAAGTTACCCAATGTAACACCTCATCTGAAATTTGAACTTTGTTACCTTCTATGAAATTCTCCCACTCATCAAAGCTGCTGTCCAATTTCATGTGATTCTGTACACACTCACACACACACACACACACACACACACACACACACACACACACTACCTTAAGGAAGCAATTTCTTGTACTTTTCTCTTTTTGTACTATTCAATTAATGTTAGCCACTTAATTGTTTCTTCTAAAATGAATTAGCTATTATTTTTGTTAAGTAACCATGAAAATCCTATATCTTTGTTAAAAAATAATTTTCCAAAAAATACTGTACCCGAATGCAAAGATTGTAAACTCTTTATAGAAAAGCCATAAAATATACGGAGGTAGGCAACAGTTGATATATTTCTTTCCAGTTCCTTTTCTCAATTGCTTCACTCCCCTTATACCACTACAAATTACTTGAAGTATAGAGTATTACAAAATATATATGAAAACAGTGTTTTTTTTAAATAAACGAAGCTGGAACTTGGTTATCTATAGAGAATAAAAATTGAATTCAGATCACTTCCTCATACTATCACTAAACTCAATCCTAGGGATATTAAAAATTGGAATGTAAAAAAACGAAATTTCATAACTTTTAGACTTAAGAACATCTTTATGATTTGAAGTTGGGAGAGATTTTTAATGGTAAAGATAAAAGAAAAATAATATTCGACTAATTTAAAATTACTGTTATGCTACTCAAAGTTATAACAAATATAAAAAATAGGTCTTGGGTTGTAGTTCAGAATGCTTACCTACCATGCCTGAGGCCCTGGGTTCAATTCTCAATACCAGTCCCCCAAAAAATGGAAAACAAAGGTTTTTTTTTAATTATAAAGGATAAAGTGTTTCAGCACATATAGCCACAAGGTAATTGTGATTAGGAGCCAAACCACAAGAACTTTCTGTGGAATCAACAAGAAAAAGATAAATGTCCCAATAGAGATCTGAGGTCATTTTGTGTTTGTTCGTTTGTTTTTTGTTTTGTTTTTTTGAGACAAGGTTTCTCTGAGTAACAGCTCTGGCTGTCCTGGAGCTTGCTTGGTAGACCAGGCTGGCCTCAAACTCACAGAGATCCACCTGCTTCTGCCTCTCTAGTGCTGGGATTAAAGGCTTGCGCTACCAGTGACCAGCTTGAAATTTGAGGTCTTAAAGAGCCAGTTCTCAGATAACACAAAATAATGAACACATAAGCATATTCATAATGGCATGGGAGAGCAAGTAAGTACAAATTAAAACTACAATTAGATATTAACTAATACCTATCAAATAAAATACTTAATAAGTCTTAGAATATCAAGTGATGGTGAGCACAGCAAGTATATTACAGTTCTCCAAAGAACCAGAACCAAGAGGATAATTATATTTATACATAAATGGTATTTCATAGAAAGGTGCACTCTCTCTCACACCCACACACATATAAAGATGTAATGTAAATAAACGACTCATGCAATATAGAACTAGAGGTTCAGGAGAACTGTTGGTACAGTTCTCGTTGGATTCCAAAGACCTGAAAGCTAGAAGAGAACTAATAACCCATCCCACAAGATCAGGAAGAGAGCGAACTCTCCCTTTCTCAGACTTTTTGTTTTCTCAGGCCCTCAGCGGATTGGATGATACCCGCTCAACAGATTGGAACAGTAAGGCAATCTGCTTTATTCAGTTTGCCCTTTCAAACACTAATCTCACTCTAAATCAAACTCACAAACTCACCCAGAAATGTCTACCAAATGCCTGGACAACTCATTGTCAAGTTCACACATGTAACCCACTTCAGAAAGTGGCAGCACTTTTACACAGTACTAGGAATGCTGTAAACTGCATAATTAGACCACAATTGGCACTATAATCTAAGTCATAACACACAAAATCTTTTATTTTTTTGAGAACTTCAAACATTCTGTATGTCCATTTAGCAAGCTAATAGCACTAGGTTCTCCCCTAGGACCTAGGGCCTAGGGCCTAGGCAGCCCCACGTTTTTGGCCCGGTTACCAGTATCAAGATTGAGTTCTGCCTTCTGGAGTGGGCTTGAAAGCCAATCAGAAAGCGGTTGGTTACTCCCCTAACATTCATGCTACTATTGCACCAGTGGATATGGACCAGGACAGTAAAGACCAGGACAGTCTTTATTGTGGCTCGCAGATGTGGTTCACAGATGGAGAAGACTTGATTATTTTTTCTCCCGAGTAGCTAGCTTGCATAGCATCTTCAAGCACTATGAAAGTTAGCCAGTAAGGATCAAGTTTCAGGTTCGTGCCAGCATGATTTCTCCATGTTCTGTGACTCGGGTATGTGGTATCTTCAGCAACAGGATCTTACCATCAAGGTCTGGAAGGTAACCAAGAGCAATAGCTTGTAATACTTGGGGGATCAATGGGACCTCCCTGGTCAGCAACTCAAAAAGAGGCAACCCATACCACTAGTAGGTTTATCTGGTAGCCTACAGAGTCTGAGGGAGGCACTGTCCTCCCCCCCCCCATTACACAGTAACTCCATTTAAACGTGTGTGTGTGTGTGTGTGTGTGTGTGTGTAAGCTTCCACAGTAATAGGTTTCCAGATGGTGTTTTCAAAGGTTTTTAGATACACATAACTTTCAGTAAGTCTTTACATTCTTAGGAATAGATCTTGAAGGAACTCTTGTGAATGGGAACAACGGAATGTGTAGGACCATTCATAAAATAAAGACATGGAAACAAGAAAAATGACCATTAATATAAAAAAAACTGCAGACTATTCAACAATGTGAGATATTATTCATCAGTGAGATCAATAGGTAGCAGCTACACACACACACACACACACACATACACACACACACACACACACACACACGATTTTTCTCTGTATGCAGTAGTTCAGAAAGGCAAAATCACAGAAGACATCATTTTTACAAAGTTCAGAGACATACAAAATTAAACTTTTTTTGTAAATACTTGTAAGTGGTAAAACAATATAATGGTGATCTGTTTCGGGAACGTGATTGAGTTTGGATATATGAGAGAAATAGGAAATTTCTCTGGATAGTGATGAGGGTTAAGAAATGCACTAACCTGGGGCTAGTGGAAAAGAACACTTCTAAAAGACCTGGGTTCAAGTTCCAGCACACACATTGTAGCCCAGAGCTAGCTGTAACTCCAATTCCAGGGTATCTGATGCCTTTAACTGATTCCATGGGCACCAGGCATGTATATGTCGCACTTATATACATGCAGGCAAAACACCTAAAATTAAATAAATCTAAAACATTTTTAAATGTACTTAAGGGTCAGTTTATTATTGTGTCCATTTGGCAAACTAGTGGTACTAGGTCCCTTGTAGTATCTTTATGTTTATGGCTCCTAATTGTATATGTTAATTACATTCTGTGTCAAAAACTGTATAGGACAGTGTTACAGATGCCCTATTTCCAAGGTAGGAGGAGAATCCTTGGCGTCTGGCTACGCTTACAGGAGATGGAGAGGAAGGAAGCTCTTTCAGCATACCTGCCTCGGGGCGCGACACTGGCGAACATGGAGGAGGGAAGAGAAGGCAGCTGGTAAAAATGGTGAATTGATAAGCTGTATGAGAGCTGGTCCTTGGTCTTCTGCAGTGTCTGAAAATAACCTAGAAATATAATTAGATTTGAGATGATTTTCTTTTGATGGAACATGAGTTGCTGCTAGAAGATGTACATTGGCAACAGGAAGTCTAGATGATTAGAGGGCAGTGTGCTCAACTTTAGGGCCCATAAACTGGAACCTGAATCAATGAAAGAAGAAGATTAAGACCTTTGGACAGTCTCCAGGATAGAACAATAGGATGCAATTCAACTGTCAGATTGCTGTGAGGCCAAACTTTTTAGAAATTCTCCTAGCACTGGGAGAATTGGCTACAAATGATCCGGCAAAAAGGGAGTACAGTGGCAAGACTCAAAAGCACACAAATTCCTGAAATGACCGTGAAGACTGGTTTTGGAATGTGCATCTGTAACTCCAACACTA